TTTAGTGGCCTAAAGTGTTCCAAAGTTACTGTCCTCAGGGGTGGCCTTACTGCACCCCTCTGGATGGGTGGTCTGGAAGACCCTTGGGGTGCTGTGTACTGGCCAGGTGACCTCTGGTGGTCCAAAAACTCTCAGGCAATGGGCTCTCCAGTAAGCCCTCCAGTGACTCCATTAATCTAACGAAGATAGAGAGCAGGGTGAGCCCGACACCCAGGAGGTAAAGGTTCAACACATGCTTCATGGCTGAAAGAATTCCACTTCTTAGCAGGGCAGTAGAGACAAGTCACCTTCTGCTTCCGAAAGGCCACTGGATCCTGAGGAAAGAGAGGCTGGAGGTTAATCTATGTCTTTTGGGATTTGCATGTCTCTGGCCTTCACCCTTCTGTCCTCTCCCATGGAGCTAAGAGGAAAGACTCAGCCAGCCAGGGAGACAGAGCCCACTGGCTGTTCTTCCACAGCAGCATGTTCAAGTATCTATAGACTGTAAACTCTACAGCGGGGGAGGCAGTCTTGTCAGAATGCTTCTTATATATATATAAGAAGCATTCTGACAAGACTGCCTCCCCCGCTGTAGAGTTTACAGTCTATAGATACTTGAACATGCTGCTGTGGAAGAACAGCCAGTGGGCTCTGTCTCCCTGGCTGGCTGAGTCTTTCCTCTTAGCTCCATGGGAGAGGACAGAAGGGTGAAGGCCAGAGACATGCAAATCCCAAAAGACATAGATTAACCTCCAGCCTCTCTTTCCTCAGGATCCAGTGGCCTTTCGGAAGCAGAAGGTGACTTGTCTCTACTGCCCTGCTAAGAAGTGGAATTCTTTCAGCCATGAAGCATGTGTTGAACCTTTACCTCCTGGGTGTCGGGCTCACCCTGCTCTCTATCTTCGTTAGATTAATGGAGTCACTGGAGGGCTTACTGGAGAGCCCATTGCCTGAGAGTTTTTGGACCACCAGAGGTCACCTGGCCAGTACACAGCACCCCAAGGGTCTTCCAGACCACCCATCCAGAGGGGTGCAGTAAGGCCACCCCTGAGGACAGTAACTTTGGAACACTTTAGGCCACTAAATAACTCCAGCCAGGTGGCGCAGGCATAGTCAGAGTATCAGTGTTCCCAGAGAACTGTTTTGAGGCCCAAGAAGAGCCGCTCCATCTGCATGTGCCATGCCCTGGAGAAGCCTCTTTAAGACGCAGGTGTGAGCGGATGGTCCATGACTGTGAGGTGGAGTGAACACACTCTTCTCCCAGGTGTGCTGTTCACTCTGCTGTCCTCTGCAGCATAACCCTGGTGTGGCACCGTCAGCCGATGTTTTCGCTCCTACTTCCCACACTTCTGCGGAGGGTTCTTTGGACCTGGGTGTCTTATGATCTGTTTGTTTGGTGATCAGCCTGACTTCCACGAGCTCGCATGTGGAGGACAGTGGGGACTGACTCTAGGGAGGGGAACAAGAATTCTGTGTCTGTTACTCATTGTTTTACATTTTTCAAGACCTCCCTTCAACATAGTGTGTGTATGGGTCTGAAGGCAATGGGATATCCAAGCCTGCTCAGGATGTGAGCATATTGTGGCCACCAGGTGGCCTAAGTGAATTTTTCTAATGAAATAAAGTTGAGTGTATATTTCCTTTCTGTGTCCTGTTGGCTTTTGTCATTGAAATTAGTACTAGATCTTGCTAGGTAGGAAGTTTAATATGTGAAAAGTTTGGAGTAGAAATGAGCTTAAAACACTTATATCGAAAACAAAAAGGGAATTTTGGGCAGGGGGCAGTTGGGTCTGCCCTGTATCAGCCAGGCTACCTGAGCTTTGGCCAAGACGATTATAGACCTCTCATGACTTTATCAAGAAAAAGAGTGATCATTCCAACCCCCTCATCTGCAGACTGGGGGAAGAGCCATATCATTCTGGGAAGTCATCGCTTCTGCACGCTCAAACACCTGCATAGCCAAGGTCAGCTATCCATGATTGTTTCTGCTCTTCCAGATCTAAACTTGGTTTTTACACAAAACATGGGCCTTTTGTTTCTTATACCCCCATTCCTGACCCCTACCCCATGCTCAAGCATATCCATTCTTCACCCAAAGGTGCTATGTGTCCATATTCTCATCTTGGTGTGGCCATCATTTCATGTCTGCTGGGCTTGATTTCTTTTTGCCAGAGAGTGAGAAATGGCGCATGGTGTTGTAATCCAGCTTTGCTTCCTGAGTGTTAAGCTTAGGTGCCACTGCCCCAGAACCAGAAGCCAGTGGTTTGGGATAGCTATTGTCTAACTTGGTGCCTTCTGGGTAAGCTGTAATATTGTACGTCTGGCCCTTTGTAGTTGGCTGGGCTTACGTGACTTGTCTTTTGGTAGCATATTGCTCTCAAAAATACAGTTGACCTTTTATTTCTTATTTCAGGCAATTTCATGTGTAGCGTTGCTTTTCTAGATACATCTAAAATTTGATATATTGTCTCCCATCCAAGTACTAACTGATCCCAAACCTGCATAGTTTCTGAGGTCAGATGAGGTCGGACAATTCAGGGTGGTATGGCTATGGACTAAAAGGTGATGTTTCTCATTCTCATGCCTCTTAGAGTAATTTGGGATATTGTGAACTTTCAACTGGAAACTACACTTTAAATCTCTTCCCAAGCCTTTAGCTTGATTAACTGGTTTACACTATCTTAACAGCATCTTTTGTTCAAATAGATGTGCTGATCATACCATTATTTCAGTCTGTCCTATGACCAGGGTGATCGGTTGCTTCTGTTCACCCTGGCAGAGGGATTTCTTGGGATGCAGGAACTGCACTGCTGAGATTGGGCAAACCCGGACATTTGTTTGGAAACAAAGCTGAGTTTGAGTTGGCATTTTTCACACCAGCATTTCTCAATTTGTCTGTTACCACTTGGGAGGAGAAGCAGTGGCTGCCATGAGCCCTGCAAGCCCACTGACTTCTGTTGTCTGTGGAGATAGACCCCATGGCCTACTTGCTAGCTGGCAGTCCTCCCTGGAGTTCATTTTGTGATGCTTTGTCGGTGGCAACAACCAGTATCTAACTCATGCTGTTAAAATTCTGTTCTCTGACTCTTATTCTTAACTCATTAAATTAGTCTATTTTTTAAAATACCACAGCCAACAGGTTTACCAAATACTTTGCTACTGTATACTCTGTGTTGCCATTCTTGCAGCCTTCCTTAAGCTCTCTTATCCTCCAAGTAAATTAATGTTACAGATGCTAGGAACTATTGTGTTTATTTTACTTTTTAAAGATTTATTTATGCATACAAGAACTGGGGTACAGGCCAGAGGTGCAGGGAGGTGGCAAGAAGATTCACCAGAGACAGAGCGGGGAGCAGAACAGGCAGATTGAAGTACATTTCTGAGAGGAACAGAGGGCAAGACAGGAAGAATCTGCTGTGTCATGTGGGTCAGCTCCCTGGCTGGGGTTTGAACTTGTGCTGCAGTGGCTGCAGATAGCTTCATAGTGCTGTCTTTGATCCCTTGCACCACCAGAGAGGCCCATTGTTGTGTTTATTTTAAAAATATCCCAATTTAGGTTCCTACCTCCATATCATCCAAGGATGATATGCTGCAATAACAGCTGTAAAATCTCTCAGAAACTTAGAGCAATAGCTGCAGGATCTCCTCCCAGGAGGCAGAATTGGGTCCTCATAGAAGATTTCTCTTCCCCCAGGGTAAAGGCATCAGCACATCTGCTCAATGGAGTGTCACCAGCACCCACCCGCTGCCTCCCCTTCCTCCTAGATGCTCCTCAGTGTTTTGTCCTGTCCCTATTTACCCTTGTATATTTGATGCATGGAGCACGCGGCCTTTTTAGTTCACAAAGTTCCATCTCAAGTCATATCTGAAACCAGAATAGAAACAATTGTGCTTTCTCAGAGATTCTTGAATTTGAACTTGATGTTATGGGTGAGTGGAATTCTTGGGCTGATGCCTTAGCGAGGAATTACATGGATGTATTCTACCCGTAGGAGGAATAGATTAGCAGGGTCATTAATGGTAGTCATTAATGTTCTGCAAATATTTCTGACCTTGCCTTCCAGGCACATGATAGAGTTGTATGTCCTGACATCCTCATGACTGGGGGGGGTTCTTTAGGGACAATGAGTTGTAAATAGAAATGGTTTGTATCAATTCTAGGTTGGAATAGTTTGGTTTTTGGTTTGTTTTGCTTTTTACACTTAGAGGTTTGAGTTTTCAAGGAAAAAACTATTGTTCTAATAAGCAGCCTTTTGAGAGCAAAAATATAAAATTCTTTCACGATATTCTTACAGCCCTTGTATAATTTTTCCCTCCACCAAACCACCCTTGCCCATATCCCATCTGCCTCCCTCTGCCCTCCCCTCCACCTTTTCCCCAGTCCCTTTGCTAACCATTATCTTCTTTTCACCAAGTTCAAGTTGTATTCCTTCTTTGCATATAAATGACTTTCTGGCATATTCTTTGCATATAAATGACTTTCTGGTATTTATACCCCCCAGATGAGTAAAACCATCTGATATCCATCTTTCACTTTTTGACTGAGTTCACTCAACATGATCACCTCAAGGTTCATCCATTTTGTCCCAAATGTCACCATTTCATCTTTCTCCACAGCTGTGTTAGGTTGGAGCACTAAAGAACTGCTTCAGATCCCCAGCGCTCTCATTCTTCCCTGCCCAATAACCAGCAGTGCTCCAGAGAGCACTGTTTTCTAAGTTTAGGACTTCCCATGCAGATACCATGGATAAGAGCCCCCAACAGATCCCTGCTGAACGAAGACTAGAAATGAGCAGTAAGCCTCTATTGTGTTAAGCCCCTGAGATTCTGTAGCAGGGAGAAGGGATTTTACTGTAGCATAATTTGACCTGTTCTGGAGGGTACATTGTTGACAGCACCAACTGGGTGCCAGACATCAATTAAGATCTCATATTATGCATACAAGATAGTAGGGAAAACATGCAAACAGTGTTTCAGGATTGTTCCAAATAAATGTGTGTATAGGACAGAGGGTTAGGAAAGTTACTTGCTGGATGGCGGCAGATATTAAGGGAAAACTTCAGAGGATCTTAAATTTTTAAAAAATGAGTAGGTGGTCATATTAGGGAAAAGTTTTTCAGTAGGAGAGCAAGGATGTGGAGGTTAACCTAAGCAAGTCTACAAATATATTTTAAATCCCGATTATTAGTTTGAGACCTTAGCTCTAGTGCCATCTAGTGGAAACTACAGAGGAAGGAAATAGTTTCTGTTTTGTAATGCTTTCTGAATTTGAAGGGCTGTTCTGGATAGGCTTAAGGTATCAAAATGTTATGGGCTGGCAGATAAGAGTCTTGCACTATCCTATAAAAATACAATATAAAACTTAAAATACTATATATCTAATTTGACTTTTCCTAAATCCATTTTTAAAAAGCCATTTAATTTTTTTAATTCAATTTTAGTAATTTCTTGTGACAATTGTATAGATCAACTTAGTTCCCCAATTTCTTGGTACTAAGTTTTTAAACACTATTTCCTTACTATACTTTTAAAGTTCATAAGATTTATGATGGTGCCTGAATTGGTAGTTTGTGTTTACTCATTCTTCAAAGTTCTCACTAATGAGAGGCTTCTCCATTTTTATAAATTTTATTACCCTTCTTAAGGCAATAATTTTTTTCTGCCCATTTTCTACTTCATTGATTTCTGGTCATTGTTATTTACTTCCTTCTATTAAAATTGTTTAATTTGTTCTTTAGCTTTTTTAGATGGAAGCTAAATAATCAATTTTTAGATCCTCTTCTTCTTTTTTTTTTTTTAAAGATTATTTATTCATACAGAACTGCAGTACATGCCAGAGGTGCAGAGGCAGTGAGAGTCTTCACCAGAAGCAAAGTGGGGAGCAGAACAGGCAGATCAACGAAGTACACTTCTGAGGGGAGCAGCGGGCAGGTCAGGAGAGGTCTGCTGCCCCATGTGGGTCACATTCCTGGCCCGGGATCCAACTCAAACTTGTGCTGCAGTGGCTGAGGATAGCTTCATGGTGCTGTGCTTTAACCCCTTGCACTACTAGGAAGTAAGGAGATGTTCTTGTGCCATTTATTGAAAGCATACAGGCTAGTAAAGGCTGATCATATGACAATGTAATGTGGAATAAAGTCTGGAGCATGGGATAGCAATGGGCAAAGTTTAATGAGGGTCAAGGAAGGGGACATTGTAACCATACTTCCAGAGACATTTTTTCAGCAAAGTAACTATTTGATGTTATCGCAGGCAGAGGTATCTTAAGATCACCTTGGTGACAGTCACGGATTCAGGTCAACAGCAGCGTGGGCGTCCCCAGGCCTGCCTCGAGATACGGGCTCCACTCTGTAGGTGGTCAAGGAATGTTCTTGATCTGTTGATAGCAAACAGGTCATAGTTGACCATGAGTGGCCAGCTAGTAGCCAGCTCATAGGAACACACAATATATCTATACTTTAATACAGTCTGACAATAGTTAATTTTTAATTGGCATGTTTAGACCATTTACATTAATGTAATTATCACTAAGTTAGGTTTAAATCTATCATATTCTTGTTGTTTTTTTTTTGTTTGTTTGTTTGTTTTCTATTCATCTTTGGTTCCATTTTCCTCTTTTCTCGCTTTTCAATTAACTGAGAATTTTTGGTATTTTATTTTGTCCAATATAGAATTGTTCGCTATATATACTCTGTTTAATTTTCAACGGTTCCTCAATTCTAGGGTTTACAATAAGCATCTTTAACTTATTACAGCCTACCTTTAAATAATAACAGCCTATGTCATGTATAATATCAGAGCCAAGCAGCAATGCATCTTTACATCTCATCCTATGTACCATTCTTGTCATACATTTTATTACCACATATGTTCTAAACCTGATGTTCATAGTGCATTTTATAATTTTTAAAGTAAATTATTACTTTAAGAATTTTTAAAATTACATATACTAAAGTTATAATAACTTTATGCATTTTTAAAATGTTTACTCACGTAAACTCCTCATCCTTTGTGCAGTTGTATAGTTTTCACCAGATTTGGAAACTGTCCAGTCACTATTTGTTCAAATATATGTCTCTACTTAAGGAAGTAAACAATTATGTCCAAAAGCACCTTGACCACATGTCAACAACTCTGATGAGGCTACTTTTATTTTTCTAAAGATGTATTGATTTATGCATACAAGAACTGGGGTACAGGCCAGAGATGCAGGGGCGTGAGAGGATTCACTAGAGACAGAGTGGAGAACAGAACAGGCAGATATATTGAAGTACACTGCTGAGGGGAGCAGCGGGCGGGTCAAGAGAGGTCTGCTGTGCCACGTAGGTCAGCTCCCTGGCTGGGGATCTAACCAGTGCTGCAGTGGCTGTGGATAGCCTCACAGTGCTGCTCTTTAATGCCTGTGCTGCCAGAGAGGGCCGGTAAAACGCACACTTCTAAGTTTCATTTGCCTCATTAACATTTTCCCTGTCACTTAGAGTCAAGACAATCAGCAAAACACATCAAGGCCCTTGTAGTACGGCCTGATTTCCACAGTGTAAATAACTGCAGCAACCCACTGACATGAAGCACACAACACACGCTGAGATACACACAGTAACACACCTTGCACCGTGTACACAAGAAATGTGAAGACACGGAGGGGACAAGACTATAATAAAATACAGTGAAAAAATTAAGGGATGAGTTTGGGCTACATATTACCTTTATTTTTATGTAATTGATGTGATTTTAGATTTATGGAATGAAATTTTTTTGGAACAAAATATTTAGCAATGGCTATTTAACAACTGGCTCATAACATTCCTCAAAGTTTACCCATTAGTTCTCACGATACTCCTGTACCTTTGCTTTTTTGCCAAATAAGTAACCCTCTTTAACACCTGTATCTAAAAACAAACAAACAAATAAAAGACAACATGAGGGGATGGGAGAAGGGAAGATGAGGGTGAACAGCAAGGCCCCCACCTTAGTGCTCCTGGTCAGGGGAGGGCCTTACACCGTAGGTGAATAACTCACACAAACTAAGGTTTGGCGAGGGGAGACCAGCTCACTGCCACCCCAGCATTGCCTGTGGATTGTTATCTTTTCTCCTCTTTATTTGGAGATTGAAGGGGAAAGTGGATTAAACATCATTACTGCTAGTTTGTAGGTATATGCTCCCCCCAGTCCTGCCTCTCCTCCTCTTTTTTTTTTTTCCTTTCCTATTGTCACACATCACATTCCTTGATGTCATTCAGCCATTGTGAGCTGCCAGGCCCTCCCCAGCCTGCTGGACAGTCTGGAAGTAGGGAGGTGGGGCTGTGGAGGTGGGGAAGAGTGGTCACTCCAACACCTTGGCGTCGGGCTGGGTCTGCGTGGAGCCCCAGAGATGTGCCCCAGCCCATTCTTCCCAAGAACCAATGAGTAAAATTAGGGGTCTCCCACCGGAGGTCAGGGAACCAGGCCCTGGAGTGGACCTTGGGGTGGAAGATGGCCTTCTTTGTCAACTGATTCATTCTCCAGAATTCAACTTGTTCTCCAACTCAGCGGTGTTTGAAAGCAACTTTATCCAGGTACTCTTCTTGTGCAGCTCAGGGACAACTCTCTTTTCCTTGCAAGACCTGTTCCCAGGGGTTGGTCTAAAAATGCAGTGGCCTTTGAAAGCCCCAAAAAGGCAAAAGAAGACGCTGGTTAAACAAAAACAAGAGGGTCCGTGCCTAGAGCACCGAGGGACTCACTGCAGGTCACATAATTTAAGGAAATAGTTATACCCCGAGAAGGAGCACACAGAGCTAACTCTCCAGACAGTGTCCACAGGCCTGGTCTTCAGTCCAAACAGCAAGTTAGAGCGAGTGAAAGTTGCACTCAGAATTCCTACTTGGAAATCCAACTTTCCCCTCCCCCCACCCCAATTAGAAACAGCCTTGTGTAAAATGAAGGCCGCTGATAACTCAGCCTTGCTCAGATTCTGTCACCTCCCAGAGGGTTGTGATCTGACGATGATGGAAGTAAGCATTCGGAGCCTCAGCAGTTTGGTGCCACCGCCAGCAGGGGATGGATGACATGTGTCCCTCTCCTGCTCTGGGGGGACCCTATACTCCTTTGTTTGCCTAGCATAACTGCTTAGCAAGCACTCATTAAGCCACCAACTCTGTGCCAGGCAGGAAATGCAAGAGCAGATTAGATAATGCCCCTTAGACATCAGAAGCTTCTGGATTAATAGGTTTAAAGGGTAGTTTAAAACATTTTTTTAAATTTTATAAATATATTTTTTTACATTATTCTTCATTTTGTACTTTTTTTCATCTCAGTTGTAATCCCTGTGGACTTCCCACCACCACTTCTATATATTAAGAAGAGTCCCATGTGCTCTTCCCACCCCAGTTTTGGTCTTGTTTCCGTTTTCTCTTCCGTAGAATGTCTCTGGTTTATAGTTGTTAGTTGATGTTCTTTTTTATATTCCTGATCCCTTACACTCCTGCCATGAGTGAAACCATCTGGTACTTTTCTTTTTCTTTCTGGCTTATTTCACTAAGCATGATCCCCTCCAGTTCCATCCATGCTGCCACAAATGGCATGAGTTTATCTTTTTTATTGCTGAGTAATACTCCATTGTGTATATATACCACATCTTGATCCAGTCATCTACTTTTGGGTATTTGGGTTGATTCCACATCTTTCCTATTATAAATAGGGCAGCAGTAAACATAGGAGTGCAGATGTTCTTTTGAATTATTGCTTTTGTGTCCTTTGGGTAGATACCTGGGAGTGGGATTGCTGGATCATATGGAAGCTTAATTTTTAGTAGTTTGAAAAATCTCCACACAGCTTTCCACAGTGGTTGCACAAATTTGCATTTGTGCAAAAAAAAAAATGAAGCTAGATTATTACCTCATACCATACACAAAAAACAGCTCAAAATGGATTAAAGACCTAAACATAAGACCTGAAATGATAAAATATATAGAAGAAAACATTGGTGAAACACTACACAACATATACCTCAGTAACATCTTTAAAGATACATCACCCAAAGCAAGGAGAGTGAAAGAGGATAAACAACTGGGATTACATCAAATTGAAGAGCTTCTGTACAGCAAAATAAAGGATAGGGTTTTTTGTTGTTGTTGTTGTTTTAAAGATTTTATTTATTTATGCTTACAAACTGGGGTATAGGCCAGAGATGTGAGGGGTAAGAGGATTCACCAGAGACAGAGTGGGGAGAGGAACAGACAGATTGACAAAGTACACTGCTGAGGGGAGCAGCAGGAGGGTCAGGAGAGGTCTGCCATGCCCTGTGGGTCAACTCTCTGGCCGGCAATCAAACGCTTGCTGCAGTGGCTTCAGAGAGCTTCATAATGCAGTGCATTAACCCATTGCACCACCAGGGAGGGCCCATAAAGCGTAGTTTTTAAAGTGGTACCTATTAAGAAAGTTTTATGTCAGATGATTTGGGCTAGCTAATCCTCAAAGCAAGTGGGTTCAGAGCATTCTTCCTGGATTTTGGCAGTAGAAGGTAGTCTTAGGGCTTTCTTTGAGGCTTTGCTGAGACCTGACAAGTGGAAGAGCAGGGGAGAACATTCCAGACAGAGGGGCTTCAGGTAAACTCAGTGACAGCAGGAGACTGGACACGTAAGGAGGGTCAAAACTCCAGTTAATGGAGTGGAAAAGCAGTGAGTCATAGGAGAGAGGGGAATAATGTAAAGAACTCACAGGACAGTGGGCCAGTCTCTGATGAAGTCCCAGATTCCAGTGAACTAGTTCATGGTTGCAGATGCTATGCCAGGGAGCTGCACACAAAAACAGATTCCTCTCTCACGTCAAGGGAAGCTCCCCAAATCATCTTCTAGAGGGACTGCCTGGATCTTCCCCATTCAATAGCTCTTTCCTCACTCTCCTCCCTTCTGGATGTTTCTTCATACACTCTCCCTTCCAGATCATTAGAAACAGGCACATCCACTTAAAGGTAGATAATGCAGGGCCTCCCTGGTCGCATAGGGGTTAAAGTCTCAGTGCTATTAAGCTATCACCAGCCATTATGGCATGAGTTCCATCCCCAGCCAGGGAGCTGATCCACATGGCACAGCAGACCTCCTCTATCTCGCCTGCTGCACCCCTCAGCAGTGTGTTTCAGTAGATCTGCCTGTTCTGCTCTCCAATCTGTCTCTGGTGAATCCTCTTATCCCTGACATCTTTGGCCTACACCCCAGTTCTTACATGCATAAATAAATAAAAATAAATCTTATGGGGCCCTCTCTGGTGGCACAAAGGGTAAGGACACAGTATTGTTAGCTAGCCGCAGCTGCTTCAGTGCAAGTTCGATCCTTGTCCTGGAGGTGACCCACATGGCGCGGCAGACCTCTCCTGATCTACCCGCTGCTCCCCTCAGCAGTGCACTTCATCGATCTGCCTGTTCTGCTCCCCACTCTGTCTCTGGTGAAGCCTCTCACTATCCTGCACTTCTGGCTTGTACCCCATTTCTGTATGCATAAAAATAAGTCTTTTTAAGACACTTCTCCAAAGAGGAAATGCAGATGGCCGACAGGCATATGAAAAAATGTTCAACATCACTCGTGATAAGGGAGATGCAAATTAAACCACAATGAGATACCACCTCACCCCAGTGAGAATGGCACATCTTCAAACAACTAGCAACAACAAATGTTGGCGAGGATGTGGAGAAAAAGGAACTCTCCTGCACTGCTGGTGGGAATGCAAACTAGTACAACCACTATGGAAAACTGTCTGGAGGTTCCTCAAGCTGCTAAACATGGAGCTTCCCTACGACCCAGGAATCCCACTCCTAGGTATCTATCCAAAAGACACAAAAACACTGATTGAAAAAGATACCTGTACCCCCATGTTTATTGCTGCTTTATTTACAATTGGAAAAACATGGAAGCAGCCCAAATGCCCAAAAGTAGATGACTGGATTAGAAAGATGTGGTACATATATACAATGGAATATTACTCAGCAACCAAAAAAGAGAAACACATGTCTTTTGCAGCAACTTGGATGGAGCTGGAAAAGATCATGCTTAGTGAGATAAGCCAGAAAGAGAAAGAAAAATACCGGATGGTTTCACTCATAGCAGGAGTATAATGGAGCAGGCGAGAAAATAACAAAAATAATGAACAACCATATACCAGAGACATTCTGTGGGGGTGGAGTGGGGAATGGGATCAAAAACGGGGGAGGGGGGAGGGAGGGAAATGCATGGGACTAGGGTGGTGGCACAGGGGTGATCTGGTGATGGGAAACCCGCGGGGATTACAATCGAGATGGAAAAAAAAATGTGCAAAATGATGTAAAAATAAACTTTGTAATAAAAAAATAAAAAAAAACTAATAAAAAAAAGTCTTTTTAAAAATGAACTAAGCGAAAACAATAGGTGTTGTCAAAAAGATTTATTTAAGAAAATCTTCAAAAAAAAATCTAGATAATTCAGAGGACACAAAGGGGAGCAGCCCAGGGGTTCTGTTGCTGATGAGCTAAAGTCTTTTTGGGAGACCCAAACAAAGGATAGATATAGGACACAACCCCAGGCCAGTGTGGTACACACCTGCACAGGTGATCCAAGCTTGTCACCCAGTTGAAATGCCACCAAGTTCCCAGCACCTGTATCCTTCTGCCTTGGTCTTCTGCTCCTTTCTGACCCATTGACGTGGGGCTGATTTCTAGGTCACTAAGCCAGGGAACTGGATGGATGTCTGTGAAGGGCCTAATACCGTGATCCTCGGGGTGACCTCCTCAGTGCCCTCCTTACCACTTCCCAACGTTCTCCTGATGGCTAATGTCACCTGGCCCCAGGGCCAGTTTCCTACCTGGTGCACACCTGCCTCTGCTCCAGTCATCACCCTCAGCAGGTAAAGAAAAGCTTGAGGGGGAACCATATGGAAGTAGGGGAGAATGGGTTATTTTGAGTTATTTTGTACTTGGATTTTAAATCAAAAGAAAAGTGATGCCTTTCAGGACATAAACTATGTAGGATTTCTGCATCAGCTTATGAATATTCATGCCCTATCTATGTATATGTATCATGCACTGGGCTTATTATGCTGGGTCAGAGAGTCAGTCCCTGCCTCCTCGCCTTCCTTTTGTTAATTTTTATTTTAACAATATAAACTTAGGGATCCCCCCCAAAAAGGTGAGGGGTAGAAAAGTCAAATGGGATTATGACATGCCTGAAATTGAAAAAGTAAAAGTCACATGTATAGACACCCATCCTTTTCCATATTGTGTTCAACACAATCAGGATCTAGGAAGAAGACAAAATGTGGTCAGAAAACTTTAGCTCCAGTTTCTACTTAAGAAAGCCTAAACCTGGACAAATCACTCAGATTCTCTGAACCTCAACCTCAAAATTCTTCCAGTGGAATTAATAGTACTTATCTTTCCTTCATCAAAACATGTTGTGAGGATGAAGTGAAACGTTACACATCAACCACCACCCATTGTTCCTGGTGTGGTGGGCCCTGGACAGAGAGGAGAGTTAGACTTAGAAGCCTTCCCGTTGCTAAGGGAGGGTCGCCCTGCTCTAGGGAGAGCTGATTAAATGTGCAGGCTCTTTTGCTTGGGAATTTCCCCTTTGTGTCCAGGATTCTCCCCCTGAAGTATGTGGAGCTACAAATTTGTGACCGGCCTCAACGCATCCTGAGAGTTAGGACAGTGACGGAAAAGATCTATTACCTGAGGCTCCATGAACAGCACCCCGAGGCCGTATTTCAATTCTGGATCCGCTTGGTGAAAATCCTGCAGAAAGGCCTGTCCATCACCACCAAAGACCCGAGAATCCAATTCACTCACTGCCTGGTGCCCAAGCTGCCCAGAAATTCCACCGAAACAACAGTAAGTGGGGGTTTCCTCAAGACCCGTAGCGTGGGGGGTTGGTGGGTAATGGAGGCTAGTTTTGCAAGGGAGACTTGAGGGGCCAATGACAATGTCCATGCCAGACTGAGAGCTACACACATAAAAAGCAAGTGAATTTTGTTTTTCTTAAAAAGAAAAGTACTTGTTTAAAAATTTCTTTCTGGTTTTTTTCCCCCCAGTACTATTCAAGGATAATGCTCACTGAGATAATCGCAGAAAAATCACCCCCTCTTTCTTCCAGCCCCAAGCAATCACATGGACTATATAGCATTTATCCTTCTACACTTTGATTTTGAATTAATTCTAATTTGCATTTTTCAAAACCTTAAATACATATATATGTATACACACATATACATGCATTTCTGAATGTTGCCCTTTTTTATATAGGTTATATCATTTGCACATTTTCATGTCTTTTTTTTTTTAAAGATTTATTTATTTGTGCATACAGAACTGGGGTACAGGCCAGAGGCTCAGAGGCAGCGAGAGGCTTCACCAGAGACAGAGTGGGGAACAGAAACAAGTCAACCATCGAAGTACACTGCTGAGGGGAGCAGCGGGCGGGTCAGGAGAGGTCTGCCGTGCCATGTGGATCTCCTCTAGGGCAGGCGGGGATCTAACTCATGCAGAAGTAGCTTTAGATTCTCAGTGCTGTGCTTTAACCCGCTGCGCCACCAGGGAGGGCCTTCATGTCTTTTTTTTTTTTACGTTTTATTGAGACAACATTGGCTTATACCATTGTCTATATTTGAGGTATACAGTATTATGATTTTTAAAAAAGATTTATTTATTTGTGCATACAGAACTTGGGTACAGTCCAGAGGTGCAGGGGCGGTGAGAGAATTCACCAGAGACAGAGTGGGGAACAGAAACAAGTCAACCATCGAAGTACACTCCTAAGGGGAGCAGAGGGCAGGTCAGGAGAGGTCTGCCACGCCATGTGGATCACCTCCGGGGCAGGCAGGGATCGAACTCATGCTGAAGTGGCTTTAGTTTCTTAGTGTGGTGCTTTAACCCGCTGCACCACCAGTATTATGACTTTACAACAGGAAAATGACCAGAAATATGGTTTGTACCCATCACCATACAATTGGTCCCTTTTACTGGTTTACCCACTCCTCAGCTCCCTTCTCTCATAACCACCCATCTATTCTCTACATCTAAGAGCTGTGTTTGATTTGTTTTATTTATTTGCTAGCTTTGTTTCTTTAATATTCCACACATAAATGAAAACATGTTACTTGTCTTTCTCCATCTAACTTATTTCACTTAGCACAATACTTTCTAGTTCTAGTCATATTGTGCAGATAGAGATTTCATCTTTTTAATAGCTGAGTAGTATTCCACATCATTTTTTGTCCATCCAGCTGTTGGGCAATTAGGTTGTTTCCAAAGTTCTTGGCTATTATAAAAATTCTACTGTAAATAGAATGAACATAGAAGTGCATATGTCATACTGAAGTCATCTTTTCATGCTCTTCAGATAAATAGCCAGAAGTGGAACAACTGGGTCATATATGGTATTTCGATTCCTAATTTTTGAGAAATCTCTATACTGTTTGTATGTGTATACTGTTGTTTTTTCATATCTTTTAAAAGCTCTCCTTCGCACCATTTTGATGACTTTGTACCATGCAGTTACATGAAGGCATGAATACTTAATGTCATCATTTCCTTAATATTAGACACTCACAGGTGTTTCTAGTTTTTCATCATTGTAAGTAATGCTGAAACAAGCATTGATATGTATTACCCACATTTCCAATTGTTTTTTCAGGATATTTTTAGAAGTAAAATTCAAAGGACATGAACACATTTAAGGATCTCAAAACATATTGCCAATTTATTGCCACAAAATTTATACTAAATGATACTCTCACATCACATTAAGTATGTCACTGTTTCCTCATCCCATTGAGAGGTATACATTTTAATACATTTTTTATATGATAGGTTTTAAAAAGTGGCATCTTTGATTTTCAGTGGTTGAACATTGCTTTATTTAATTTTTTCATTGTCTGTTGGGTTCTTTGGTCATGTTCTTATCAGCAGCCTTGTATATTTTTTCTAGATTGATCTGTAAAATAAAGTTCTTTACCTATCAAGAAGTCTAATTCTTTAGTCACAATTTTTGGGCAACTATTTCCCTACCAATTTACTTTTCCCTTTCAGTTTATTTCAGGATTCTCCCCTGCCTCTTTAACAGGCTTTCCCAGGAACCCACTTAGTGTAGAAACACAGGAAGGAAAAGTTTGCTCCATTGGATTGCTAAAACCTTCAGCTTTCAGAATCTGAACACTTTCCTCCTCTCATAAGTAGGGACATGGAAAGTCAGCTATCATGGAAAAGTTTCTACTGTTCTGGCTCTTAACCTTCAGACCTTGCATGCCAGGAGAGTACCACGCAGCGCACCAGAGAGCGTAGGTGGCCCTGTCAGGGGACCCCTTGTTTGATCTGATCTTTTAGGGCTTAATGTTTAAGGAACAGACTCCCAGGACTAGGCTGGAAGACTCAAGGGAGTTCTTTTACGGTTCTGGCCTGAGGAGGCCAAGAACATCAGGGACCCGACCTGACCACGTGACTCAAATTTCTCCATCCAGCCTGAAAGCAGCCTCCCGACATCCTCGCAGCCCAGCGAAAGCTTCATGCTGTTGGCAGCCGAGCAGACCAGTGGCAGTTTCTCACATCTCTCTGGACGGTCCCAGCTCACAGAAGACAGGTGGGTTCTCCATGCCACTGGTTCCAGCGTCGCTACCCACAGCACAGTGCCAGGTCATCAGCACCGCCCTCCGCCAACCCAACTCAGTTGATTTTTATTCTAGAAGTTTATGTACATGACTTACAGGTTGTGGGCCAAGCAAATGAGCATGGAGGAATCAACTATGTCAAGTAATCACAATTAATTCAGAGGTGATGCTATATTTTCTGCAAAAGAAAGCTGCTACTTAGTATTTCTATTTAGTGACAAATTTTATTTCTGAAGAGTTTGGTGTACCATACCCGTAACCATGGGGGGTGGTGGGTAGCAGATACTGAAAACACCCAGCCGTGAGGCCCATGGGAACCAGGCCTTCACTGCTCACACCCTTTACCTGCTGAGCCTCCACTCAGTGCTATTTACTTAACTTAAATGTTTAGAGATCTAATAGGCTTTAGAAAATGAATCATGAATCAGACAATATCCTGTAGGTGCGCCTATTTGCTCATTTTATTTTTATGATTTATTTTATTTATTTATACATATAAGAACTGGGGTGTCGGCCAGAGGTGCCAGGAATGGGGGGCAGATGAGAGGTTCGCCAGAGAAAGAGTGGGGGGCAGAAAGGCAGGATGACGAAGTACACTGCTGAGGGGAGCAGTAAGTGACACGGGAGAGGTCTGCTGCACCATGTGGGTCACCCCCCTGGCTGGGGATTGAACTCATGCTGCAGTGGCTGATGATAACTCCATAGCACTGACACTATTAGCCTTATTTGTTCATTTTGAAGCTGACTTTTTTCTCTTAGGAAATTTCTCGGGTTCTTTATCACCCTAGCCCAGTCCTTCTCTCCCTGCCAGCTTTGCTGGCAAACATGCCACCCAGACACTGGCTGTCAGGGCTCCCTTGCCCCCACTTTCTCTTTCTGTCCAGTCCACATCTGTCCTCAGGAAATGTCCTGTTACGCTTTGACTGGCCACCGGCAGAGGAGTGGGCCTCCTGCCCACTGAAGCAAATCCTCCTCCCTCCGCTGTCCAACAGATCCACTCTCCCATCTCTCTGGCCCTGTGTTTTCCACCTGGGAGTTGTCCCTACCTACTGGGTCTCACAGACCCCCAGGACCACAATCCAAGCTCTGTGGGTGATCCCAGGGGACCCCTCTCAGCTTGAGAAGACAGAGGCAGTGGTTCCACGCCAAGAAACACTCATCTTTTCTCATCCTTTGCCTGGTACTCTGGAAAAGTACCAGGCTCCTGTGCCAGGCAACTCTGGTCTCAATAGGTCTTATATCTACTTTCTAGGCTTCTTTTATTTTCATTTCTCAACTTCAAGATCATTTTCTTGAGTTATAATGTAACATTTTTGCCAAGATTGTCATGCTAGAAAAGATGTCAATTTGAAAACAATCTTTAAATGAAATCTTTAACAATGTTTTTTTCCCCCTATTATTTTCAATGACCCTGAAATCCTGGACTTCCACAGAACCATGGATACTGCCATTCTGATTGACAGTTGCAGCAGCTCCAGTAAGACATTCTCATCCTCAGAGTCTTCTGTCAATTTGAACATACCCATGAGAGCCGCCCTGAGTCACAGCCTCTGGGAGCAAGAACATCCCGATGAGCACTTCCTACAGACGCCTGTAGCCAGCTCTCTAGGAGAGAACTTTCTGGGACCCTGACAGTCTTGTCCCAACAGGGTGATCTCGCCTGGCTTCACCCAGCCCTGGCATTTCCCATAGCATGTTTTCCATTGCAGGCCAAGTGACCATGGAGCCATAAGATGATTTTATAACAAGGTGTTTGTGTACTTCCACCAATAAACCTCCAAATGAGTCCCTAATTGTTGGAGGCTGTGCTGAGGAGTGTCTGGTTAGAAGCAGGGAGCCAATTCTCAGGGAAATAGTGGGAAAAATGTTCTGTCTGCTAGCTGAACCCCAAAGTTGCCAAACAAAATCAAATAAGTCAGTCCAGAGAAAAGGTCCTGGGGAGAAAGCCAAGTTCCTCTTGATCCAATAGGTATTGGGGAAACAGGCAGGTTGCTACAAGCCCCGAGTGAAGAATGGCAACCAGCTTGGGAGATACCTTTGTGGCTCCATTTGCTTCAAGCGAGGAATTAGGTCCTTACTGCTCTCTATCCCCTGGGTCAGTGCCAAACCATGATGACTCCCTGGCCAGGCCTGTGGGCTGCTCATGAAGACTTGCCTTCTGGGAAAGAAGAGGGAGACTATCCATTACTGGAAGTCCCAGTCTTCTTGGTTATTCCTACCCAGACTGGTAGCAAAGGAAGCCATAGTGCCTGTGCATGTCAAGGAGAAGCAGGGCAGGAGCACTGTGGCAAGTGGAAAACAGAGCCACGACATGCATAAGTACTTATCACCCCCTGCTGAGCATGCGCCATGCTGGGTGTATCAGAGAGAACAAGACCCAGGGCAACTTAGCATCCCTGATGGAGGGAATGGATGGGAGATGATTGAGTCTTGCTTTAGGGAACTAGAAGGACCATTAAGGTTAACCTCAAGATGGTGTTGGAACCATTTGGTCTACAAATAAAGGCTGGAGGACCTGCTTTCCTGTAGCTCAGATGACAGTGTAGTGATAGAGGATTGTACTGAGTGGAGATGGTGCCTACTGTATGTGGGTTTTCTTTCTTTTTTTTTTTTAAAGATTTATTTATGCATACAGAACTGGGGTACAGGCCAGAGGAGCAGAGGCGGTGAGGATTCACCAGAGACACAGTGGGGAGCAGAACAAGCAGAATGACAAAGTACACTGCTGAGAGGAGCAGCAGGAGGGTCAGGAGAGGTCTCCCTCCCAGGCCGGGGATCCAACTCACACGGAAGCAGCTGTGGTTAGCTTCATAATGCTGTGCTTTCAAACCCTTGTGCCACCAGGGAGGGCCTGTATGTGGGTTTTTCTATGTCTCTCAAAAAAATAGAAACACATTTCCTCTTGTCACATTACAAGCAAATAAACTGAGCACTGTTGATAGTGCTGAGGGGTCTCTTGCCATTACAATTGGAAGAGATGCCTGAGAAAGATGAGCTTACTTCCCAATTTATCTTATATCTAATATCATTATATGGGTCATGCCACCATATCACCCCTGTATGAATGGAAAATCCTTCCACTAATATGCTGTATTTATAATTAAGAAATCTCTTTCCCCACTTTGGTTTAAACCTCTATCTGTCGTTGCCTAGACCATTGTGATAGACCCAGGTGGCCTCCCAGACTCTGCCATCATAACGATGACAGCTCATTTCATCTGGGCTGACAAGGGGCCAAATGTTATACAAATACTTTACACAACATTGGACACAACTCAACAGAAAGTGGATACTCTTTTTTTATTTTTTAAGATTTATTTATCTATTCATACAGAACTGGGGTACAGGCCAGAGGCTCAGGGACAGTGAGAGGATTCACCGGAGACAGAGTGGGGAGCAGAACACACAGATGGACAAAGTACACTGCTGAGGGGAGCAGCAGGCGGGCCAGGAGAGGTCTGCTGTGCCATGTGGGTCAGCTCCGGGGCAGCGGACAGCCAGCTTGCAGTGCTGCACTTTAACCTGCTGCACCACCAGGGAGGGCCATAAGGTGGATACTCTTAATATTACATTTTAGAGATGATGAAGCTGAGCTGTAGGGACGTTCAAGAATATTTCTGGGGCCTTCGAACTAAGAAGGAGCTGAGTCAGGACCTCAGCACAGTCTAACTCCAAGATCCATACTCCTAATGGGCTTCTGGTTTCTTTCTCAACTATTGCTCCATCATGCCTCCAACACAGCCATCCTTCTAAAACAAATCTTACCAAGCTTCTCCCTTTGGTAAGAGAAACAGGTCAGTTTCTCCAAACTCTTCACATGCCACTGCTCCCCCATGATCCTCACAATCCCGCCATTAGGATTAGGAACGATTAGGAATAACCTAATCAACTTGGTTATTCCTATCACTTGGTTATTCCATATATCCTGTTTCCTAAATGTACCAGGCACTTGGATACTGCAAGGAGGTTGCTCCTGCTCTACACCGCCTGAACGCCTTTCCTTTCCTTTCCTTTTTTTTTTTTTTTAAAGATTTATCTATCCATGCACACAAGAAATTGGGTACAGGCCAGAAGTTCAGAGGGCAAGAAATTTCTCCAGAGACAGAGTGGGGAACAGAACAGGCAGATGTACTGAAATACACTGCTGAGAGCAGCAGCAGGCAGGTCAGGAGAGATCCCTGGCTCAGGATCTAACTCTGAGCTGAAGCAGCCTTGGCTAGCTTTGTGTTGCTGTGCTTTAACCCATTATGCCGCCAGGGAGGGCCCTATAATTGGACTCTTGGGGTTCATCTTTCGTTTGTTCAAGGAGCTTGGGGCTGAGCATTGGCTGAAAACAAATTCTCTAACCATATGCCCCAGAGCTAGCTTTCATTTGACGATCCAAATGATCTAAGTCATTGCTTAGCAATTATATTCCTAAAGACCCCAACCAAGTCCTGTTTCTTCAGTTGTCAACAAGCAACTCTAATTAGGTCAAGCAGAAGATGAAGATGTTAAAGGACAACGAGGAAGTGAGGGTCTCTCTGGGAAGGCAAAAGAGGCTTGAAAAGGAGAAGGAGCGTCTACCCACGCAACAGGACTAAGCCAACAAGGACCCTGCTGAGCATGCACCGTGTGTGAGTACCTCTGGCCCTGGGCCAGGAGTCAGCTGTCAGCCTCTATGGTCAGACACCTCTTTTGCCACCTGCCCCAGGAAAACAAACTGCACATGGAACTACTGGCTTCCTTCTTCTCCCAAGTCCAGGTCCACACAGTTACATCTGGTTGGCAGAACCCCAGTAACAGGAAGCAACTGAGCTCGAAGTGAAGCTGGAAATGTAAGGTCTGGCTTCCTCCTCCAGGAGGTGAAACTCACAATGTGCAAATCCCCAAATAGAAAATACAGGCAGCCGGAAGGCATGAAAAATGTCCCCAAAGCACCTTCGATTAATTAACTACAGACACAGGTCTCCAAAGGTCAAACCATTCTCAGCTCTGATTACCATGCCTTCTGGTCCTGAGTGCTTCCCAGAATCCTCTCTTCTCTGCTGAGATCATAAAGTCTATTTAATGGCTTAGAGAAAGCCTATTAAACATTCTGGTGCTTTCGTGAAATCCTGGAGAAGATTTGTGAGTTTTCAAAGACTTCTCAAAGGACAGAGTTGGGCGAGGGGGTGTGGCAACAGCAAGAGCTTTGAATTCCTTTTTTGTTATGTCAGAGAATGAACGCATGGCTTCTCACTGTTCTTTAATGTGAACCAGAGAGAACCCAACAAACTATCAGAAACACAGAACTGTGAGCAACAGCACTATCATCACATAATCTTTGATAAGACTGCAGGGAACCCCTGACCTCAGTGGGTTCCCACCAAAAACCATGCAGTGTTCCGGTATGGGAGCACAGCCAGCTCTAAAACCCAAATTTTCGCAATAAGCAGAGGACACAACTGACATCAGATGGCACCCCACTGCCCCTGAGACCCTCAAGATTGACTCTGGACCTCCCATCCCCTTGACTGAGTGGGCTATCTCCAGACATTTTATTAAATTTCACAATAATGCCACCCCACCTTGATGGACTCTTTGGTTAAGGTTTTCAAATAACCCGTTCAATACACTTTGAGGATCCTTTTTGGTAACTACTGGGTACAATTTGTGTTTATATTTCATGATGACTTCTGTGAAGTTAGCAGATACATTTCCATATTGGAATATTTTATTATGTATTACAGTTGGGGCAGTCTATCCACTTTTAATGTAGATTATAATCACTATGAATTTTGTTGCAGAATGGTAAAAAGACTCGGGTGTTCCAAAGTATGTGTCATAAAAGGGTCCCGGCTCTGACAGCACTGAGGCCTCAGTATTAGGGTGCTGATCGTCCCGTGTTGCTGCCCTGCTGACTTGGATGCTACTTGAACAGGCATCCACTTTTCAGCCTACTGTGCTGTATCCTCTTCTGCTCCTGTCACAGGGTGGCCCCCAGAGAAAGGGGAGCTGCCTGGTTCCTGCCCCACCCAAGGAAGGGTGGAGCTGAGCTGGGAGGAGGAACGGCTAGGGAGAAGCCTGGCAGAAGAACAGAGAGCAAGAAGACCTGCAAGAGGCGCCAGGAGCAGAGGACTGTTGGCTTGCACTTGGGGGACACACAAGAGACACTTGAAACAGATGTGGGTAAGAGTCCCATGGGGAGATTAACAATGGAAGGCTTTATCTTGATTGTGATTTTGTTCTTTTCCTTCCAGATTCACCTGGCCCTTTCTGCCCCTTTCCTGTGGGTCCCCACCAGGAGGTGCCTTAGGCTTGTGGCAGGTTGGTGCCTTAGCAGTCCCACTGTGGGCCAACCCTGTTTAGCTGGACATCAGATGGGTACTTTTGGGGGTTGATTTGAAAACTATTTTATCTATTCTTCCCCTCCACTTCTCTTTATTGCACACTGATTGTATTCAGGTTCCTGACCGTTAAAGGTCCTACACACTAGAGTGTGTTTTGTCTTGATGTGGCAGATGGTGAAACCTATTTAGAGAAGGCAGGTTTGGGGATCCTGGAGGGTCCTCTCCCTGCCCTGTAACACTCCCACCTTACACTGGGACTTCTCCTCAAGGCTCCTTTGCTCTGCACATCCCACACGTGTTCCCATGACATGGCACGCTTAGCATCACATGCTCCCTTTCCAATCCCAGCTGTTCCACGCAGCTCCTCAAGTTCCCTCCTGCCTTCCCCAATCCTACAGCTGCCCCTGCCCACCCTCCCTCCAGCTCCTGTCTCCCTTCCTATCTTGTCTGGTCTGTACTCAATGGGGATCTAGCCTATTCGCAGTAATCTTTTCATCCATTCAGCCCAATGATCTGAAAAAACAGTGAGCCCAGGTGACTTTCCTGCCTTTTCTGAGACAGGAAGCTTTTCTTACTATTGTTTCCCTGAAACAATAGTACTATTCACTCTTTCAGGCTGCCAACTTGGGGAGGATAGGGTGGATAGTTTGTGACAACACACACAATTACACAATTCTTTCTCTATTTCAGGCCACACCCAGAGTTTATGTTCTCTCTATTCTTTGATTAGCACATGAACCACTTTTCTTTTTGTCACTAATTATATTTTTACTATTTGCTTTTAAATAGTATTTACTTTGTATATGAGAGGGAGTAATTCTGTCACATAACTTCTTTGCAAAGGCTAATTATTCACTGATGTCCTTCATTCTTCATAAATAGTAGAATGCCCCAGGTCTAGGTGGTTAACGGTCAATCAGCTAAAAACTACATTTCCCAGCTTCCCTTATACTGGGTGTGGCCACATGATTGAATTCCAACCAATGGGATGTGAGCAAAGGTGATTATGCCATCATGCCTTTAAGAGGAATGAATGCGCACTCTTCCTCCCTTCTCACTGAACAGTTTACAAACAAGATGGCAGTAGGTGCAGCAACCACCTTAGAACCCAGAGATGGAAACCATGTGAGAATGGTAGATACTCTACCAGCTTGGCACTCCCAACCTTTGGATGACTGAGTAAGAGACCATCAACATTCTATTTTAAGTCACTATATTTATATTATGTTATATTTATATTTATACTACTGTAGGTAATGCAATTACCTTTACCCAGAAGCCTGTATTTTCTCATAGTATTTATTTCTATTTTCTTTTTTTAAAAAAGATTTATTTTTATGTATAATGAATACAAGAAATGGGATATAGGCCGGAGGTGTGGAGAGGTGAGAGGATTCAACAGAGACGGAGTGGGAAGCAGAACAGGTGGATCTACTGAAATACACTGCTGAGGGGAGCAGCAGGACAAGATAGGAGAGGTCTGCTCTGCCATGTGGGTCAGCCCCCCAGCAGGGGTTTGAACTCATGCCGCTGCGACTGGGGATAGCTTGATAGTGCTAAGATCTCCCATGTGCCACTAGGGAAGCCCTAAACTGTATAAATGTTAAGTGCCAGAAAACACGGTTTCAGTCCCAGCAGAAAACCAGATATCCTGGTCCCTCCTGAGCAAGCTTTAAAGTGATGTGATACTGTCCAAGTGACTTTAGCCTTAACACTAAAGGACAGTCAATGTAGTAGAGGGGACTGTGACCCCAGCACTCATCACCGGTGTGCAAAAAGCAATGATGGCAGCAAAATCACCACCAGAAGCAGAGGCAAAAGCAATGGGCTTTGTCAATATATACAAATACATAAATATAAATATCTACAACTTTCCCCAGTAACTCTTAAGTTTGTCATTCTTAGCCTCCTAATTTCAACCAAGTTGCTGCAAAAGACGTGTTTTTTTTTAATTACAGAAGTTTATTTTTACATCATTTTGTACATTTTTTTCCATCTCAATTGTAATAGCATCCTAATTTCATATAAATTAACTTTATTATTTTCTTCATTGCTTCAAATTATTGATAAATAGTACGATCATTTCCTGTAAAATCTGTCCACAAAGATAGGAATTTTATATAATTGTGTCAGCTTCTTTGAAGCCTGACTCAATAGACCAGAAACCCCCAGTTAGTTTATCTCCAGCCTAGAATTGGGGGAGCACAGTTCAGACTAGCAGGCAGTTCTACAGTCATCAAGGGGCTAGAGGCCTTTCTCCACCACATTAGCATTCTTAGCACACCACTCCATGGCCCCAAGGGGCTGCTCCTGTTCCAGCCATCAGGCCTTTGTTTTAGCCAGGAGAAAAAAGCCAGAAATGAAAAAGCATGCCTCCTCTCTACAACAATTCCTCACAAAAATTGCACTAACACTTGAGCATTTCTTTACCAGAACCTAGTCAAATGACCTCACTTAGCTTTAAGGAAGGTCAAGAAATGTAATCTTTATATTTTGTGTGCCCAACCAAAAACCAGACATTTTATTAGTAAAAACAGAGAGCATGGGTATTGGAATACTCAACTAAAGGTCCGTCACAAGGTTTTTTTTTTTTAAAGATTGAGTATACTGAATATGTTTTGAAGTTGGGGGGCAGGCAGGCCAGGGTACACCTCTTAAAGTACTGTTATTGTTTAGCATTTTTGTTTGGCATTTTCTAGATTTTTTTTAAAAAGACTTATTTATTTATGCATAGAGAACTGGGATATAGGCCAGAGGTGCAGGGGTAGTGAGAGGATTCACCAGAGTGGGGAGCAGAACAGGCAGATTCACTGAAATCCACTACTGAGGGAGCAGCGGAGAGACAGGAGAGGTCTGCCACGCCATGTGGGTCACTTCCCTGGCTGGGATTGAACTCGTGCTGAAGTGGCTGCGCTTCTTAGTGCTGTATTTTAACTTGTTGTGCCACCAGGGAGGGCCCCTAGACTGGCTTCTGAAGCCTTCCTCCACATACTACAGAAGTGGGCTCATAGGCTTGTATCAAAAGGAGAACAAGTCATTCTTCTATTTGAAGGGAAACCCTTAATTGTCTGTGGTCCCATAGCCATGGGATAACTGAGTTATGGGGTTCTGCTGTTGTGGGCTCACTTTAACTGTGAAAAGCATCTCATCAGTGTGTGGATTGCCATTGTTTTGCACTGTTTGGTTCTGTTTCTAGGAAAATGAGAACCATAGGACATGATTCCTGAACCCATCCTTGGGGAATATTACCATGGAAGACATTTTTCCCACATGCTAAACAGAAGAAAACAAGGATGGTGAGTTCAGAAGTCTCTCCACTCCCCAGTGAGTTGTTACAGGTGCTTGTGCAGGGCCAGGATAAAATGACCAGTTGAGGGGGCTGATAGATCAGACAAGGAAGCCTCATCACCTTTCAACCCGCCTTGATAATGAAATATAAAAATAAAATGCTACGCATGCATGTTGCACAGACAGGTTGCCAAACTCCCTTTCTAAGCTGACCGCATTTGACCTTGATGGTGAATACATTCTCTAATTTATTCTGGAGTTCTGTTCAAATTAGAATACCGCTTCTCCACGGAATCGACTTGAGTTGTGGTCCACCTGCTTGTTCTTTGCCCCTTATCTAGCCACCCCAGGACATTGTTTTATCTTCTACTGACTTGGGGATGAGAGCCGGGGCATTCTCCAGTTTATCGGGGTTCTGGTGCTCCCACTGGCAGCCTCACACAGCCAGCCTCTGGGTAAGAAATGAAGTCTTTCTGTTTCTCCTTCATTTCACTTCCTAAGGGAAATGAGCAGCCAGCCGGAGCAGGCAGCCACAGTCTTGCAGCTCCTTCCAGAAGAGGCTACTGCAGATAAATGAGGGTGCGTGGGAGCCTCATCACAGAAAGCTGGGAAAGGCTGGGCTTTAAATAGACACCAGCCCTTCAGGTAGGTGGGCTGCATTCTAAGGAAGGGATGAAAAGGAGGTATCAGCCCTCCCTGGGGGCGCAATGGGTTCTCTCAGCACTAAGAAGCTGTGGGCAGCCACAGCAGCAGCTCAAATTCCATCCCAGGCCAGGGAGCTGCAGCAGACCTCTCCTGTCTCACTGCTGCTCCCCCTCAGCAGTGTATTTCAGTGGATCTCCCTGTCTGCTCCCCACTCTGTCTCTGCTGAATCCTCATACTGCCCCTGTGCTTTTGGCCCTAGCCAGTTCTGTATGCATAAACAAACCTTTAAAAAAAGAAAAGGGAGTCATTTACCTCTAAGCAGCAACAGGAACTTCCCACTGGCTTCTCTTCCTTGCTGCCTGTCTGGCTTACCACTTCCTCAGCAAGTTGGTGTGGGGGCAAGGAGGGTGGGGAGCACCATGTGGGGGTGTGGAGTGCCAGGGCAGAAGGAAGTCACAAGAGCACTGCAGAGGGAAGAGGCTGCTCCCTGCATTTCCCTTTTCTGCAGGCATGCAGGGTTCCCATGATGTCATCCATTCATCATTGTGAGCTGATGGGTGGTCTCAGGCCTTGGCCAGCTGCCCAGGGCCAGGAAGGAAGAGCGAGACCCCAGGACAAACCTGCAGCAGGCCCCTGAGCAAGTGCGGAAATGTTGCCATCAGTTCCACATAGAAAGACTTGGTGGAAATTAAAGAAGACAGTAAAAGTCACACAATCCTTTCCAATCTTCTCTTCCCTGAATGCCTGGGAAGAATTCAGGGGCCTCTTTCCTGTGGATGGGGAGCCAAACCCTGGAGTGGGCCTGGGTGTGGAGGAAGGACTGCTCTGCCAGATGGTTCATTCTCCAGAATTCAACCTGTTTCCTGACTCAGTAGTGTTTGAAAGCAACTTTGTCCAGGTACTTGCTCAATGTGACACGCCTTGTTTCTTGCAGCCCTATTCCTCAGACCTCACCGGGAGACTTGACCCTGGGGCCCAAGTAGGGTGAGGCCTGAGGCCTGGAATGCAAGGTGCCCTCTGGCTCCCCTGACTCTGCCGAGCCCCAGGCAGTTGCCACCCTGGGTCAGGTGTTCTCTGCTGCAAGTGGAGGAGTGGCCATCAGTTCTACTTGGAAACTAGATTCCAGTTTGTTCCATCCTCAGGCTGTCAGAGCAAAGAAGACTGCACAGCAAGCCAATGAAATGAGATGCCCTTCAGGGGGTTAGGTCAAGAAATACTGAGTGGAGCTGGGGATCAAGAGAGATGGGGGGCTCAGTGCAGTTTTCAGCTTTCTTGTCAGGGGCACCAATATGACCCTGGGGCCTGGAAGTTTCCTCTGTTGTCCAAGAGGTGGGTTGACCCAAGAGTTATATGCAAACAGAGGAGCAGAGGGGAAAGCCTTAGGATGAGGGCCTCTGTGTTTTGTTGCCCTCCTGGGCTTGCCTTGGGCCAGATGGAACTCAGAGTAAGCAAAACTTGGACCTTTCAGCTTAGGGAAGGTGCCAGAGGCAACAGGACCCTCAAACAAGAGCCAAAGGACATGCGTTTTAAAGAAAAGCCAGGAAATGGTCCAGGGAGGATTGCCAGAAATGTAACCTGTGCTTGCAAGGAATCTCTGGGTTAAAGTTGCTGTGGCAACCCTTTGCATTAGGTAGTATAGATGCTATTAGTTGTTTCATCAATAAAGGTTAGAATTGTCTTTCTTTCCAAGTGACCATTTTGCTTCTCCCAAACCAGATGACATTTGGCAATATCTGGAGGCATTTTGGGTTGCCACAAGTTGGAGGGAGGGTAAGGATGCTGCAAAATAACCCTACAATGCTCTGGTCTGCCTCTCCCCCCAAGCCAAGAATTATCCAGCCCAAAGTGGGAATAAAGATTAGGTTAAAAAGCTCTTGATGAAAACATACTGTGTTTCTGTCAAACACTCAGACCGTGCCCACCGGGATGCTTTGCAGGTCAAAAAGAGCAGGAACTGGATAGACATCTACAAAGCCTCCAGCACCATCGCCCTCGGGATCACCTCCTCGGTGCCCTGCCTGCCCCTTCCCAACGTGCTCCTCATGGCCAGAGTCAAATGGCACCACGGGCAGAGCCAGACATGGAATAGACCACCTATAGCCCCCAACATCGTTCTGAAGAGGTAAACAGCACAGAGGGCCACAGAGGACAGGAGGGGGAAGGAAGGACCCAAAGCAGAGACAGACGGGTTTGTGACTGAACTCAGGGTGGGGAGTGAGCAGAGGCATCGTGGGTGGTCACAGTAATCGCTTTAGCCACTAGTAACACAAGATGCTCACTGGAAACATCGAGGTCAAGTGGAAGGACCAGGGAGGCATGAAGTGAACAAGTCCACTTTCCTTCTCACAGCGCCCTCCCCCTAAATTCTGAGGGAATCATTCTGCCTTTGACTGAGGGGCAGAAAGCCAGGAGACTGGGCAGATGAAACACTGTTGAGAAGTGCAGTTTCTAGTCTTTGGTATGCAACTGACTAGACTTGGGTAATCTTTGAGTCCAAGTTTTGTGACCCTTCAGTTTTCCTATTAATGAGTGGATCAAAGTCTCACTCAGTACAGTACCGTGCAGTGACATCATGTTTGCCTGAGGTGAAACAGTCCTTTTCTGATGCTCCAACCTCTTCAGCTCACCTGTAGGATTTCCAAGGATCTCTGGATATTCCCAGAAGTCCAGGAAAACCCTTCACTTATCTATGTTGCCTCAGAGGTGAACTTCTCCATTATGTTCTGGGCACACCGATAAGCAAGGGTGGCCAAGCCTCACTCCCAGAGTCAGCTCCTTGGACTTCAGCTCCTTTGTGAAGAGTAACCGAAGCAGAGACCAGCTCTTAACCAACTCTGGCACCTGCCCTCTCTGGCCCTGGTGACCTTACCTGGTGGCTGTCTGTAAACAGAGTCTGGGAAACATCTGTAAAATCATGGCAGGGTGGGTGGCCGTTAAAATGCAGACTCCAGGAACACACCCAGACTGTCAGAACTACTGAATCTGAGTTTGGAGTTGGGGGATGTCTGCAGGTGTTTGCACTTTGGGCAAGTTCCCCGGGGAATCTGTTTGCTGCAACGTTTGAGCACCGCTGTGCTAAGCAGGTTCTCCATCCTGAAGGAGACACTCCTCATTTTAGTGAAGATAGGATCAGTTGAGAAGCAAGAGTGGTAACGTGTGCCTTCCCTCATGCCTAGAATTCTCCCCCTGAAGTTTGTGGAGTTCCAGGTCTGCGACCACCCCCAGCGCGTGCTGCGGTTGAGGACAGTCACGGAGAAGATCTACTACCTGAGGCTCCACCCAGACCACCCGGAGACTGTTTTCCACTTCTGGATCCGGCTGGTTCAGATTCTGCAGCAGGGCCTGTCCATCACCACCAAAGACCCCAGGATTCTTTTCACTCACTGTCTGGTACCAAAGAACAGCTGCAGCCCCTCAGGAGACTCTGAGGTAAGTGGGTGCCCCAAGGCTTCCAGCCAGGGCCAGCACTGGCTGCAAAGCTTAGCTGAACTGGTCTGTGCAGCCTGGGAAGGGAATTCCCCCTCTTGGGCCTCTGCTGTAGTCTACAACCATGCAGTTCACCCGTGTTAGCTGTTCAGTGCAATCCTTTCAGTGAATGCACAGAGTCTTAGAGTTTTAGAACACTTCCATCACCCTAAAAAAGTCCTTTGTGCTCATTTGAAGTCATTTCCTGTTTCCACGTCCTGCCCAAGGCAACCAGGGACGGGTTTTCAGTTACTCTATATTCATTTTCTTAGACATTTCATATCTCTGACTTCTTACACTTCGTATATTCAGTCCATCAGTAAGTTTCATGAACCTAAAGGATTTTTGTAGATGAGATTGAGGAAGTTCCTTTTTAGCCATAGCTTAATGAGTTTTTATCACCAATAACTACTGGATTTTTATTGAATGCTTTTCTGCATCTACTGAGATGATCTTGTGGCTTGTCCTGTACTCTATCAGTATAATGAATTGCTTTGAGTTTTAGATGTTAAACTTATATTCTTGCAAGAAATTCTGTTGTCATGGTCTATAAAATGCTATGACTGGATATGGTTGGTAATATTTTGTTTAGGAATATTTTCATCTTTGTTCATGAAGGATTTGGGCCTGTAGTTTTCTTTGAAATCTTTGTGATCTCCTGACTATGGAATCAGTAATAAAAGCCTTGTGAGGTGATTCCTGAAGTATCCTCTGCTCTATTTTCTCAGATGGTGAAGTGGTTTAACTACTTCTTTAAATATTTGATAGACTTCACCAGTGAAGCCATTTGGGTCTTTTTCCCCATAAGCTTTAGAGTGCAGTGAAAGTAAGATTGACTTGAGCTACAACATAAAACTCATAAAGGCAAGGATTTTTACCTGTCTTCTTCCCTGCCTAGCACATATTTGACATTCAATAAATATTCAGTGAATGAATGAATAAGTATGAGCAGCATGTACAATGGGAGCACCCTTGAGGTATCACAGGCAACAGGAAAAAAGTAATCTTAGTCAGGTATAAAAAAATTCAATATAAAATTTTTCTCAATTTTGAAAACATTTATTAAATTTCAGTAATAAATATTTGATCCCTCTACATCTAAATATAAAACCAAGCAGCACAAGCCACATTAAAGTTCATATTAATAGGCTATTCAATAATATTATAGTATGTTAATGAGTAGGTTCTCTATTAAATGATGTCTAAAGTGTACTTCATGGCAGTGTTATCCAGAGGCTGTTTGTGATCATACACAGGTTCTAAACAGATTTGCTATCTGAGTTGCCACTGAGCAGCTGACATGGCAGCCCAATGGGCTAGCTCGAGTTCCTACTCTGTAAGATCTGGACCATAATATTAGGAAAATGCAGAAACCTTACTGCCTTAACCACCTGGTTTTGCTTATTTTTCTCCGTCTAGTTAGTACAGAAGAAACCTCAAGTCTCCCAGCCCAGTGAGAGCCTTATGCAGCTGATGGCCAAAGGAGAGAGTGAGGCTCTCTCTCAGATTTTTGCCGATTTGCACCAGCAAGACCAGTTCAGGTACATGATTTAAATCAGGCCAGCCCAACATCCTTTCCTGCAGTCCAGATGGTCAGGCCATGAAGTCCAGAAGCCCTGGCCCTCAGTCAGTGAGCACAGCAAGGGGCCTGGAAGTGCGGCCCTCAGTCTTTCTCCTTGACTCAAGGCAGCCTCGCCCCAGTTCTCTTTGCCTTTCTCTACACAGCAAGCATAGGAGGAGGCATTTCATTGAAAACCTGCAAAGTGACTCTCCCATAATAAGAATAAGTTAGTGACACAGGACTCCTCCCTATCTGTGTGGATGATTTAGGGCTGAACGTGGAGCCTGGTTGGTGGGTGAGACAGGAGCTGAAGCATTGAGACCATAGAGAAGGGACTGGATCCCCAGAGAGCAGAGAGAAGGGACTGGATCCTTGTGACCCAGTTTGAAAGAAAAGGGAGGACAGAAATAAGTGAATAAATGTCACCAGAAGAGAAAAATGAGATGTCAGAGAGAAGAACGTGTTTGTTACAACAGAGACCAGTGGTTTAGAAAGAGAAAGTGAAAAGAAAGGCTTCTGAGTGAAAGTGGACCAAAAGCCAGTGTTGAACAAAACAGGTCATCTCACTGGGGGTTAAAACTCACCCAGACCGGGGAAGGTGCTGACTTGAGCCCTTGGACACACTGTGTAACGTTCCCGGGCTCAGTTTTCAGATCTGTAAAATGGAAATTAGGCTGGTGTCAGCCTCACTCAGACATTGTCAGAACCCAGGGACCCTCCACATGGAATCCTTAGCACATTGCTCAACAGATTTAGAGGCAGCTGGAAGTTGTCTCTCAAGAAACACTTTGTATTATTAGCCCAAGATTGAATGTTTGCGAGTAATAATGCTGGGGGAAAAACTTGTTAATTGCCCACTGTTAAAAAATTTATATGGGGTCATCTCTCTACAGTATACAGAGATCTGCAATTAAGACACTTCTGGACCAGATGTCACACAGCTGAGCAGGAGAGTGCTGGACTCTGATAGAAAAATCTTTTTATTTATTTATTTTGTGTAGAAGAACCGGAGTGTAGGCCAGAGGTACAGGGGGTGAGAAGATTCACCAGAGACAGAGTGGGGAGCAGAACAGGCTGAACCATTGGAATACACTGCTGTGGGGAGTAGCAGGCAAGACAGAGAGGTCTGTTGTGCCATATATGGGTTCATTCCCTGTTAGGGGTCAAACTCAGTTCATAGCAGTATAGTGTGATTAAGAAGTGATTAACTGCAAGGCCACCAGGGAGGCCCAAGATCAAAATCTTTTTTTTTTAAAGATTTATTTATGCATACTGGGGTACAGGCTAGGGATGTGTGAGAAGATTCACCAGAGACAGAGTGGGAACAGAACAGACAGATGCCCTGAAACACACTGCTGAGGGGAGCAGCAGGTGAGACAGGAGAGGTCTCAGGCTGCCCCATGAAGGTCACCTCTGTGGCCAGGGATTGAACTGGTGCTGCAGTGCATAGTGGATAGCTTCATAGTCTGTGCTTTAACCCTTTCACCACCAGGCAGGCCCCCAAAATCAACATCTTTTAAGGCAACTTGTCCATCTCAAAGTGGTAAATCACACTTCTTTTTATTATTTTTTGAAGGACGGCTTCTGCTTGTTTTTATTGGGTATAGTTTGGTCACGCGGCCACACTCAGTTACAAGGGAGGCTAGCAAATGCACTCTTCATGCCACCTAGCTGTGTTCCCAACACAAAATTAGATGTTCTGCCTCTGGAGGAGAAAGGAACAGTGGGCATTAGGGGACCGTTGGTAATCTCTGACACAGACAGCTTTTGATATTTCCAGACAGTCAGAGAAGACTCACACCTGCAGGAGAAATGGACAGTAGTTGGATGAAGGATAAAGGGTAAAAAATAGCTGTGCAGGTCCAGGGGACAAACAGGTTTAAGACTGAGGCTTCAACCTGAGGAGGAAGCGTGGTGGGTTTAGAGAAAGGGAAGGAGGAAGGCCGGTGGGGAGGAGGGGGTTAGTGGTGGAAGGATTTACTGGGAAGCAGGTGGGGCCTGGGCAGCCAGGCGAAGGAATTTAGACTCGGAGTGCAAAGGGAGTCTTAGCAGCATTTTAAACAGGGAAGTGATGTGATCCAATTTACATTTTGAAAAGGTCGGGGCAGCTGGCTGTCGCTGTGACAGTGGAGATTGGAAGGGAGGGAGGCAAGGTGTGGAGCAGACAGCCGGGCAGCTATAGCAACCTCATCTGGGTTGGTACATTCTAAGTGGATCAGAGGGCTGTGAGGAAGAGGGGGGCATCGATTCTTGCTTCACTGTTATCTTAATAATTGCTTTGTGCCACTATTTCGTTTTCTTCTCTCGAATTCTCCAGAATGGAGCCCTGAGTGATGATTTTGCTCCTCATTCAGGCAGGTGCCAACCTGGTTGCAATTATATCAGTTTGTGCACATTGGCAGCAATACGCACCTTACCAGCAAATAAAATAAATGGCTGAGACACAGGACTGAACAGATGGAGTGGCACTCGTCCCCCCTCCCCCCAGCAAAATCAGCAGCCTGGGTTCAGCTCCTGACCCTGTCTCCCCCCTTCCCTATTTTTCTCCTGGTATTTTCATCTGCTTCACACCCACCTCATATACATTTCTACATTTATATCTGCCTCTAAAGTTTTTGCATCATAAAAAAAACTAACTGGAAACAAGATATGTAATGAGTTTCATGCTCTATTCTTTTCCTTTTTGACCTTCATTCCCTTGATCCTGAAATGGCTGGAGTTCCAGGAGCAGCAAAAAGACAGAGATCAAAAAGGACAGCCCAGGTAAAAGAGGACACAGGGCCTGGGCGTGTCAGGCAGTTGTCTGTCCTGCTAACCAGCAGAGGAGATGAGAGCCACTCCAGCCCCTGATGGGCATCCCAGGGCTGCCAGAGTGGCCACGATCCTTCCATAGCTTAATTAAAGTTTCTCGAGACTATTTGGCATCATAGTCAATTTGGTACCAAATCCTACTAATTTCATTCATTGAAATGCCTCTTTTTTTTTTTTTAAGATTTATTTGTTTTTGCATACAGAACTGAGGTACAGGCCAGAGGTGCAGGGGTTGAGAGGCTTCACCAGAGACAGAGTGGGGAGCAGAACAGGCAAATTGATGAAGTACACTGCTGAAAGAAGCCGGGGGCGAGACAGTTCTTCTGTGCCATGTGGGTCACCTCCTGGCCTGGCTTGAATTCATGCTGCAGTGGCTTCTGATAGCTTGATAGTGCTGAGACTTAACCCCGTATGTCATCCAGGAGGCCCCATGTTCGACTTTAAATCCTGTCTATCCCTCCAGGTACACTTCACAACACCTTCCTGCCCAGACAAATCTTTTCTTGGTCACCACCTCTGCCACATTATTCTCTAATTGTGTTGTAAGTTTAAGTCTTGTTTCTTCAGCCAACACTAAATTTTTTTCATGCTTCTGAGTTATCCAAAGCAGCAAACACAGTACTGGGAACACCCCAGGAGCTTAAGAAATATCTGGGCATCATACCACTGACAATTGCTCCTCCAGATTGGCTCAGGAGGCAGCCAGAATACCATGTTACGTTAGACATTTAGCTGCATGCTCTCAGGGAGGTCTGCCAATTTCACCTACACCATTACAGACTCAAATGTCTGCAGGTGGGGTAAGTGGGTAAAGAGTCTAGATAACGTAGATATAAGAAATGATTAGCTTCTGTCTCAACTCTAAGTAAAACATAGTTGAACTGACACTTGGTCTCACAACTGGGAGACAATAGGGTGGAGACAGTGGCAACAAAATAGTAAAGTTTTCAATTATTGTTGTCACTCTGGAGTTGAATAAACTGCTAGAAGTTCAGTCAAGGGTTATCAGGAGTCAAGGGAACCACATTCCCCTGATGTCCTTACACTGATTTCACCTCATCAACCTGGGGTGTCTTCTGGATGCTTCTATTTTCTTAGAATTGAAGCAAGTCCTCTTTCCTCTTTGGGCCAGGAAGCATATCCTTGCCGTTTGGAAGGATAGTCCGGCTGCAGCCTCTGGGAGCTTTTGGGTGGAAAAGGAGCATACATTTGGAAAAGTTAGTGGTCCAAAGCTTCTCTGTGTGGGTGAGGCTTTGACTCCCTGTCAGCAGGTGCTGGGGCCTGTTCAGTGTTCCCAGGACTTTAATCTGCAGGTAGCCCCCTGGGAACCTTATTAAAATACCGGCTCTGATTCACCGGGTCTGGTTGGGCCTGAAACTGTGCCTCAAACATGCTCCCAGGTGATGCCAAAGCTGCTGGGCTGAAAACCACATTTTGAGTAACAGAAGTGGACCAAGAACAGGCTCTGGTTTAAGGCCATCTGGGTTCAAAGCCATCTGGGTTCAAAGCCATTGCCAGTTCAGCTAGCTGAATCTCCTAGGTAAATTCACTCAACTAACCTCTCCAAGCCACAGTGGTTCCCTCTTCTTACTGGCACTGTCTTATTCACATAATGTTGTATTAACAACCCAAGCTCTGTTGCCAGGCCACCTGGCTTTGAATTCTGGCTCTATCTGCTCATTATGTGACGATGGGGAAGTTACTTAACCTCACTGGGCCTCTGATTTCTCATTCATAAAATGGGGATGGTGGCAGCACTGACCTGTCTGGGTTGTGGTGAGGATTATAAGAGCATTAAGGCATGTAATTGTTTGGAACAGTGCCTGGCACGTAATAAGCACCCCATAAATGCTGGCCATCATCTGTGAGCATGCTCTGTGAATGAAAGTACAAACAAATGCATTTCCTTTTAGGTCAAGAGAAAGCTACTCCCTGTGAAGACGGGATCCCTTGCACCCGTGACCTCAGTTGGAGGGATTCACTCACGTATGGAGAGTGGGAAAGAGAGAACCCCTCAGGGCCACAGCCTCTGTCCCTCCTCAGCACTCTGGCAGCCTCCACCCGGCCGCAGCTGGCCCCACTCATAGGTACAGGGATGGGATTACGCCTTCGTGGGACAGGCTTGAAATTTGACCTCAGGCCTGGGTTTAGGTCCAGGTGGGGGTGGGAGGTGGGGCAGCCACATCCCCTTTAACCTCATCCCCTTCCTACACCCCGCTCCCCCTCCGGCCCCACTTCGGGGACTCCAATGAACTGAGTGAAACCCTAAGTGTAGCACCCCGGAGCTTCCCCTGTAGTGCCCATGAGTAGCTCTGTAGGGACTGGATCTAGAATGACACTTGTAGTGATCCTTCTCTCTTTTGGAGGGTGTCCAGTGCTCTTCCCTTGAGAAGATGAGGACCCGGCTCTCTCTTTTCCTTTCCGGAGCCCTTGGGGAGCCCCAACTTTCTTATTCAGAGACTGAAAAGGAGCGAGGCTCAGAGCAGTGGGAAAGGGGACAAACTTACTGGGGCTCAGCCCCATCATCCAGCCACCCATTTACTCATTGAACGCACCTGTGTTAAGTGTCCTGCATGCCTCTGCTGAGAGAGAGCTGGTCTCTGAAGGAGAATGTTAATAAACCATTTGCGCTTATAAGATACCTATTATTAGTAGCTGACAATCTTTGAGATTAACATACTTATGTACCTGCCAAAGAGCTTTGTAAATGATGTCTAAACTACTGAAGATTTTTCTCTCCTACACTGACAGGAAATTCTATTTGAGCCACCTTTCCACACTGGGGAGACCTGTGCAGCCCTCACCAAGACCACTCCACAGCGTTCAGCTTTCTGAGGGTGTCTATCTGGATGGAGGGGAGAGAAAGCTGCAACCAAGAAAAAACTAGAAGCAACTCACACTGTTCTTGGAGAACCACCTGGGAGTATATGGCTCCCAGGTGAAAAACATTATTCCAGCACGTCACTTTGCGTCCTGCCCACCACACGTCACCACACCTCACCTCCATTCCATCTCCAGGATGGGCACAGGAAGACCCACTCGCTCACAGAGGAGCCAGTGCCAAGAGAAGAGGAAGGGAAAGCAGCACCAGAGAAGAGGTGGAAGAGAGCAAAGTGGAGGTGAAGAGGAAGGTGGAGGAAGTCAGAGAAGAGGAGAGATACAGAGAGGTGGTAACAGAAAGAAAGAGAAGAAACTTGGGAGACACACTGAAGAGAAGAAATCCACTGCTGAGAGATGTCTCACCAAGCTTCTGTTTATCTAATTTAAAACTTGAAAGTAAGGCCATATACCAAAAAAAAGGGATGTGTTGTTTTCTCTGCTTCAACCACTCTCACAAGTATGAGGGGCCAGAAATTAATTCCAGGCAAAAGTCCCTCCTTAAATTCCCCCTTTTGGCCGGTATTTCTATTTCATCCTTCTTTTCTGATTCAGGCTCATACCTTCTTCTTGAGCCCAGCTCCTACCTTGGACTTGCCAGACTAGCACAGATGGCCCACAGGGAGGTTTGTGAGGCAGGTTGTGTGAGGTGATTTCTCTTGTGTAGTCAAACTTCCCATGTTGGCAAATGTCTCAGCCCTACAAACCCAAGCTGCATTTTTTTTTTTTGCATAAGAGAAAGCCCCTTAAATATTGTTAGTGTTTATTAAGCTAGCAATTCTGAAGAGAAAAGAGAGACTCACAGCATCAGTAAGCCAGAGGTTTCATGTTCAAAGTTTAGATAAAATCAGTCACTAAGGGGTGTCTGTCAGGGTGTGGACTGGCCTCTTTAAAATGCACAGGAAATGACAGACTAGAATAAAAACCAGACTAGGTGTTTCAGAGAAGTGACTCTACCTCCCAGCTGGAGTTTTCTGGGTGTCTTGCTCTGACTGAAGATATCCTAAGTGGTCCTTTTCTTCACTGACTTAGTTTTTCAGACTGAAATGTTTGGAGAACTAAAAAGTAAGCTCCTGGATCACCAAGTATATGTTCTAATTCTTTGTGCTTTTGCTGCCCACATAAACTGTCCTTCCCACACCCTCGTGCCAGTCCTTGAGTTACCGCTGACCAATGTCCCATCCTCCACCTTCAGCCAATGACCCCTGGTTTACTCTAGAGTTTGTCATTACTAATTGTGCCTATTAGGCCTCCCAGGTGGGCTACTATCACTACTGTCCTCCTGCTATAAAGTGTCCTGAGCTTGATCCCTGGCCAGGAAGGTGACCCACATGGTGCAGCAGATCTCTCCTGTCTCTCCCACTGTTCCCCTCAGTAGTGTACTTCAGTCAGTCTGCCTGTTCTGCTCTCCCCACTGTCTCTGTGAATCCTCTCACCCTCCACCCCACATCTCTGGCCTAAACACCAGTTCTTCTGCACAAAAATAAATAAAATAAAAATCTTACAATAAAGGAGTAATTCTTTTTTTTTATTTTATAACAGTATTTTTACATCATTTTATACATTTTTTTTCCATCTCAATTGTAATCCCCGCAGGTTTCCCATCACCAAGTCACCCGTGTGCCACCACCATAATCCTGTGCACTTCCCTCCCCCCCCATTTTTGATCCCATTCCCCACTCCACCCCCACAAAATGCCCCTGGTATATGGTTGTTCATTATTATTATTATATTCTCACCTGGACCATTATACTTAAAGGAGTAATTCTTAATAAATAACTGTGCCTACCCATTATGCCCAGTCTTTAGCTCTCCCACTTGTCCTTTCCTGTTTGTTCACTAATCCATAATGCCACCAATTCTACCTCTCTTGCTCCATCTGGGTTTTCAGTGTCCATCACTCTCCTCCAGTCTTGCTTCTCTCCCCCAGGCTGGATTCTGTAATCATTCTTAATCCCTAACATGCCCCTGTAATGCCTCTGCATCTCTTCTATTTCATTCCATTCACTTGGCCTGCACCATGTCACTAAGCTTATGCAGAGAAAACCGCAAGATATGCTGACCAGTCTCACCTCACAGTCATAATCACAAGCCACCTGGAGTGTCTCTTATGTTGGCTGTTGGTCGTACTATGTCCCCCTCCTCTGTTCACTTAGGTACTGAACTCCAGCCACACTAGCTTCCTGCCACTCCCCAAACACTGCAAACATGCTTCAGCTCAGGACCTTTGCCCAAACTGTCCCATTTTCCTGGAATGTTCTTCACCACCTTCAAAGACTTACTCATGTCATCCTCTTCAAGAGCCTTCCCTGATTGCCCATTCTAAGACTGCAACACCCCCCCGAGAGACCAACCTTCTCTTGTCTCCTCTCCTGGCGTACTTTATTCCTTAGCCCCCATCACCATCTCTCCTTTTATGTCTTTTGGTTCTGTATCTTCTTTGTTGGCTGCTTACCAGAAAGTAAGCACCACCGTGAAAGAGTTTGCTCCATTTTGTTCACTACTGTATCCCTAATGCCCAGAACAATGCTTGCACACAGAAGACATGGATTCATTTGTGGAGCGAATGCTTAGAAGAACCACAGGGACAGAGTTGGGATGATTGAAGATATTTGAAGAATAGCCGCTTTTTGAGGTGGACCTCATCATCCCTTCCACATAGAGTCCTTCAGTGCTTCTTTCAGAGACAGAAGCAGAACAGAGCTGAGGTGCACCTCAGCTGCACCTGAGGTGACATTTCTTGTATGTCACCCTTCAAGTGCTTCCTCATCTGTTGTGATAGGAATTTGTTGCTGCCTTGCAGCCAGAATGCAATGAGAGACACAGCAGTGGTGGAGTAGGTTTGCAAGTCTCAGCTGCTTTAGCAGACGTTCTTGGGCCACTTATTGAAATCATACAGGCTAGTAAAAGCTGATCATGTGACAAAAGTATGAGGAACAGGGTCCAAAGAATGGAATAGAAATGGGGGACAAAGTTTTATGAGGGACAGAGAAGGGGACATTGTAACCATGTCAAGGGCCATTTTAATCTGCAAAATATTATCACAGGCAGAGTTATCCTGAGACTACAATGGAGACAGTCACAGAATCAGGCGTCCCTGGGCCTGCCTTGCAATACGGGCTTTACTCTGTTGGCAGTCAAGGAATGCTCTGCTATGATTTGTAGATAGCAAATAGGTCACAATTCCTCATGAGTGGCCAGCTAGTAGCCAGCTCATAGGAACTCATAGTCCTCTGCCTAATTCTTAAGACAGGCTGTTCTTTTTTTTTTTTGGATACTTTTATTTATTCATACAGAACGGGAGTATAAGCCAGAGGCATAGGGGTGGGTGGTTAGGGCATTCATCAGAACAGGCAGATCAATGAATACACTGCTGAGGGGAGCAGCAGGAGAGACAGGAGAGGTCTGCTGCACCATGTGGATCACCTCAGGGCCGGGGATCAAACTAGCATTGAAGCTGCTGCTGTCAGCTTAGAGTGCTGCGATCTAACCCGTTGGGCCACCAGGGAGGGCCCAAGGCAGCCTGTTCTACAACTCTAGAAAGAACTACTTTTAATTCATTCCACCTCTCACTTAAGGTTAAGCCTACAACCTTATGTGACCCACAATTCACATTGCCTTCCATTCAGGTTTTTCAGGTTAAGATCTTCCACCACTTAGAGAAACTTAGTATCTAATATCTAAATTTTCCTCCAAGCCCCCTGTGCTCTTTTAAACTCCTTTCTCCCCATCTGGCCTAAGAATTTACTCTGTCCTCTTTCCCTTGTTCCAGTTATTCTGAATAGTCAACTTCCTTAGTTCAGCCTGAGTCACCATCTTGCAAAGCCCTCTGTGACCACCACCCTGGATTACTGTCACTCCTCTGTCTGAATTCCAGAAGCATTAGTTGTCAGCCTCTCATCTTGGCCCTTAAAAGTAAACGAACTTGTTTTGTATTTAATTTTCATAAGCATACTACTATGTCCACTGGAATTTAAAGTATAGAGGCATTGTGTGCTAAAACCCCAGTAGTTTATATTCCATTTGTGTTGCAAACTTCATAGCTTTTATTTAGTGTTTTGATTTCATGATATGGAAATGGACAGGTGAACAGTTTCCTATGTTCCTCTTAAATTGGTGACCTGATTCGGTTCACTTAATATTATTATATACTTAATACAGCAAATGTTATTACAAAGATGAATACGGCAGAGCTCTACCCTGAAACTTGGTTTAGAGGACAGATTGATAAACAGCATTTTATAACAAAATTTGGCCAAATGTACTTTAGGTACAAAGTGCAATGAAAGTAAATATGGGAGAAATGATGCCTAGTAGGGTCAAGAAAGGCTCCTAGAGCTAACGACTGAACCGGGTTTCTATAAACCCACATTTCTGGTGACACTTAACAAAACAGAATTTAGGAAATGCACTTGGAGCGACAAATCATGAGATGGGAAAGGGCTCTTGAATGAATGAAGGTGGTCAGGGAACAGGTATGTAAGAGGGAGAGGCGGGGATGAAGCTGAGAGATAAGCTGGAATCAAATAATGAAAAGCTTCCTGTAGGTTACCCCATCAGGGCGGCAACGCTAAGATGCTGAAGTTGGGATCGTTCTTAAGGTTGGCGACTGAGAGCGTGGGATTGAATCGACCCTGGACGCTTGCGGGTACGAGGATGACCAGCAATGTAACCCAAAGCCGAGCCCCGCGCTGCGCAGCAAGACGTGGCGGCTGTACGACCGCGCCCACAGGCCAGTCGGAGTAGGGGGCTGGGACCCGCCATCCCACAGATTCCTGGACGCGACTTGGGCGGGAATCCGGTCCACGCAACTCAGCGCGCTCGCGGGGACGTGGCGCTTTCCAGCCAATCCCAGCTACAAGGATGTGGGGCCAATGGCTGTCCAGGAAAGCTTTGCGTCAGCGGCGGGTTTGTTGTTGATTGGTCAGAAAGCCGCCGGTGAGGCGGTAGGGGCGGGGCAAGGAACCGCTTCCGGTTGGGTGGTGCTTGGGCGCGTGAGCTGAGCCGGTGGGTGAGCTGAGGCCGTGGCAGACTTGGGCTGTGGGCGCGACGCGGAAAGGTGAGTACGGTGGTCCTTGGCCTCTCCTGGGATGCCTTTTATGTTTCTTTTTATCGAGGGGCCTTGCTCCTGGAGCAGCACGGCCTCCCTTCCGGACCCGTGTTTGTGCCAGCGCGGGGACCCGGGGCCTGAACCCGCACGCGACCCCGGAGCCCTCCGCGCGCAGCCTGTGTTGAAGGCCGCGGCTGTCTTACTCGCGCGCTTGGGACGGGGGACGGGGGGTCCACCTGGGTCCCGGTGGGATCTGGCTCCCGGCTTTGCGTCCACTGGGATACTGATTTGTACCTGGCTTGCCACGTCCTCCGTCCCCGGGCCCCGCCACTTGCCGTTGTCTGAGTCCCTCCGACCAGAGGGTCACTCTGCCTCCTGAAGGTCGGAGAGCGGTCGGGTAGTAGTATAGTAACAGCTCCCAGCCGCCTCCCATTCACTGGCCTGCTTGTATCTGCCAACCCCGCCCCAAGGCCATATCCCGAAAGCTGGGTGGACCTTGCCAATAAAGTCGTGTTCGCTAACTTGGAGAGTGTAGAAACAGGTGAGGAAAGAAAGCATGAAAGCACTGTGGATTTTTAAAAACCTCCCATCATTGTAATGAAATCCCGGGGTTTCGCTACGTACTTCAGTGCGATAGGAAGTAATTTTTTAAATCGCTTTTAGCAAACTGTGTTTTTATTTATTTATTTTTTGTAGCGCCTACCCTCAACCCTACTTCTGATTTTGACATGCTGTGTTTAGCAATAAACTCAATTCCCGACAGCTGACCCGTTTTAGAGCATAGTAGTGTGTCTTACAGTTTGGAAAGTTGTTTTTGCATCAAGGCAAAAACTCCCTGTTAAAACGTTAGGGCCTTTGATCTGAATTCCTATGTATAAAAGCATAGCATAGTGTCTGAGAATTAATTGCAGTCATTTTCTGGCATGGACCATAAATTAATCCGTTTTAATGAATTGGAAATAAGCTCCCTTCTTATTTTTGTACCTGGGTGAACAGAATCTTAGAGTTCTGATACCTTGTTCCTTGCCATAGGATGGAACTTTACACAAGATAAATACATGTTTCACTTCATTCAGTAGTTTTAGTTAGCTAAATACCAAGCGATTTCATCACTGAAGAAATTATGTATTAGAGTACAAAGGAGGGTCCAGAGATGACCTGTCAATTGTATTTGTATGTAGAGAGGATGAATTTGCTTAGGCCTAATCATGTGATTCAGGGGTTTCCAACAGAATTCTTTTGAGAATCACAACTAGAACCATGAGCTGATGAAGATGATCTGATTTTGGCTGAGTGGGTACTACTCAGTTATAGCTTTGAAACCAACTCATTACTATAAATTGATTATAATAAATTTGCCTCCATCAGCGATATGTCAAGAGATACTTCTTGGTGGTATTTGATATCTTTGCACCAGTTTAGGGTGTCATTACATTGTGTTAACTTGGTTTTTCTACAACATGGGTATGCCAGGAGGGTTGGAAAGACAGGTGATGAGGGACAGTCATTGAAAATGGTTGTTGGGGGAACTCAGGCAGGCAGGAACTACACTGCTGCCAAATACATCCAACTAATCCGTAAAGTTGTATTTGTATATGAAAGTGCAGGCGGGATTAGGAACTGTGGAAGGATATATATTAGCTGAGATCTCTGCTTTCCAAAGTGTAGATTTATAGGGGAGCTATGGTGACAGCTTAGTAGTGTGTGGCCTTATTATGGAGTGGTATGAAAAAGTGATAGAACTAAGTTTAGAGAAATAGGCACAGATCACTTCCAGCTGAAATATCTTAATAGATAGATCTTTCCTCCAGGCTTTTTAAATTGTAGATACTTGGCACTGAGGAGAGTTGAGCTAAAAATAACTACTGAAATCTCACAGACTGGATATGGGTTTTCATATGTGCAACAAAATTACAACTAGAAATCAAATTCTTTTCCATACATTGTGTATAACATTCCTATGACAATTAATTATGTATGACATTTCATCAACCAAAAGGAAATGTTCTAGAAATTTTTCCTCAAAGAAAAATTTTCACTCTGTAACCAGAAAAATTGAGTTAGTTGCCTTAATTATAGAGCTGATGAAGCCTGAGTTTCAGTTATTCCAAAATCTTTTCTTCTACATTCAAATTTAGCACTTTTTTAAAAAGATTTTATTTATTTATTCATATAGAACTGGGGTACAGGACAGAGATGCGGAGGGTGAGAGGATTCACCAGAGACAAAGCTGGGAGCAGAACAGGCAGACAGATGAAGTACACTGCTGAGGGGAGCAGCGGGCGGGCCAGGAGAGTTCTGCCTTGCCATGTGGATCTCCTCTGGGGCAGGCGGGAATCGAACTCTTGCGGAAGTGACTTTAGCTTCTTAGTACAGTGCTTTAACCCGCTGAGCCACCAGGGAGGGCCAAATTTAGCACTTTCTATGTACTCGACAATCTTACAGATGGATGCCCCCAGTCACACAAATAATCTAACTAGAATGTATTAACTAATTAAATTTGTTCAATCCCTAGAGAATTAATAGTTTGTCATTATCATAACTTTTATCCAGTCATCAAGAATGTATTACTACATTTTTAAATCTGACAGTCCATTGTTGGTACTTGTGTTTAAATCTATTCGTGAAGAATGTCAAGTAGATAACCCACCAGGTAACTAATTTCTAGATTTCATAACATGGGCCTTAATAATTAAATTGCTGTCATTCTACTCCCCCATACCAATTGAGGTAGACATGTAAGCAGTGAGATCTTGCTTTTGCTGCGTTAGAGACCTCTACCTCCCCCCTCCCCCCCATATCCAACTCAGAGAACTGGAATTTTACACCACACCCATTTCCCCCACTCGATTACATTGAGCAATGGGTGTTTGGTCAACCAGAACAACTGGGATCACTCACTGTTAATGTTCTTGAGTAGTTTCATTTAATCTGCACATATAAATTTCCCATAGCAGTTTACTCTAAAGATTAATGACAGGGTTGGGGGAGGGGAGATGAGAAGATAACAATAATTAATAACTGTCATGGAAATTTTTATTAGATAAATAGATTTGGTACTTCAGTAGGATAACAGCCAAGTTCTAACAGTAGTTGGAACAACTTTAGAAAAATAGCATTGTCTTAGTTTTTCTCTTAGTATGTAGTTTTGCTTTCATATCGCTCACTCTAATTGGTTTTCATATATCCAAAGATGTGGTCTTTAGGCCCAGGTAAGTTTGGGAAATACAAATATACAGGGTGGTAAAAGTAATCATCACCCATCACCATACTACAAGTGGCTTGAACTTTGAAGACATTTCAAAGTGGAAGACAGCCCAGTGCTATACTCCAAGGAAACTGCCCAAATATTTCATTGATTCCTAATCTGATCAATTATGTGAGAAGCACAACTACTGGCTTCAACTTCAGGGAATCTAATTCAATAAAGGAAACCTTTTCTGTGTGTGTTATTTTAAAGTTTCCTAGATGATTCTAATAACCAGCCATGCTTGAAGACCAGACCACTGATGTACAAAAAGTAAAGTATTTGGAACGAGTTGGTCCTTTCACTTTTAAGGCTTATCAGTTTTGGCAAAAAGGATTAAAGTGCTACCTTGATGTTTTTTGAAGGGAGTTTATTTTACAAGGTGGACATTTTAACCATAATTCCTTGTTAGCCTAGAATCAGATAAAGGAAGCTGGTGAAAGTTTCTCACCATAAGATTGGAAAGTCGTCTTATTCTACCATACTTAATGTACAGATTAATAGTATGATTTAATTGACTTGTATAGATTTGGCTGTCAAATTATTTTACTAATTTAATTTCTTGGTTAATTATTGTGCATACTGCTTCCTGAATTAACGACCTTCCTTTCTCTTTTAAGATCTGATTATCATGGACCTGCGACAGTTTCTTATGTGCCTGTCCCTGTGCACAGTCTTTGCCTTGAGCAAGCCCACAGAAAAGAAGGACCGTGTACACCATGAGCCTCAGCTCAGTGATAAGGTTCACAATGATGCTCAGAGTTTCGATTATGACCATGATGCCTTCTTGGGTGCTGAAGAAGCAAAGACCTTTGATCAGCTGACACCAGAAGAAAGCAAGGAAAGACTTGGGTAAGGTGCCAGCTCTCAGGGGGCTAGTTAGGGTAATGGCATTTCTTTATAAATCAGCTCTTTCTTTTCTCTTCTGACTTAGTCACTCAGTAAAGCTGTGTTGACCTATTATCTTCTAAAAGCTAACCACAGAATTGCTATTTAATAAAATGCTTGCTTTCATATATTTTGTGATAAAATTACAGTCTGTATCTCATTCTACAAAGCAAAGCTATTTTTATGTAAAAGTACCAGCTACTGCAGGACCCAGTTTAAACTGCATCATTTGGTACCAAAGGAAGATTAGATGGGCATTTCTCATCTCTGCTTCTGTAATTTTTAAGAATTACCTGTTATCTATTCATTGTTACCCAAGCAAAGTCTCTGAGTGGATAATAAGTTGCATAGACCCCAGGACTAAATTGCTCTGACATTTGTGATTTTCCAGGATGTTCTTCATCCTCATTGTTTTTATTCTCAAATATTTGTTTAATTAAAAACAAACTGGCCCTCTGTGGTGGCACAATGGGTTAAAGCACAGCACTGCAAGTGAGCTGCAGCCGCTTCAGTGTGAGTTCTATCCCCAGCCCGGGAGGTGATCCACATGGCATGGCAGTCCTCTCCTGACCCACCCATTGCTCCCCTCATTAGTGTATGCCATCAATCTGCCTGTTCTGCTCCCCACTCTGTCTCTGGTGAATCTTCTCACTGCCCCTGTACCTCTGATCTGTACCCTAGTTCTATATGCATAAATAAATCTTTTTAAAAAAGAAAACAAACACACAGACCTTGCTTTTTGGGAGATGTAATAAATAATGTCTTGATGTCAGAGTATGAGTTGCTATTTCAATAACAAGTGGGTCACAGTCCAGTTTTTTGACCTGCATCAGCATCTTTTTACCTAAGAGTTTTACTCAGTTATTGCTAACTGGGCCTTTTGAGAATATCTTTTTTGACTCTGAAAAATAAAAACATTTTAAAGATATACAGATTAGTGAAAATTTTCTCCACAACAAGCACTGTTCCTGCAGTTATATTGAAGAGATCTGTCAGGAAATTTGCGCCACATAGCAATTTCTCAAACTTTTTGCCCATCACAAGTGAGATTAGAAGACATTATATATAGAGTTGCTTTGGGAACAAAAAATTGGTTTTCCTGTTGATTGGCGGTCTCATTTCTTTCGAAGATTTACAAGTCTCCACTGAGATACTGCCATGCCATGGTAGAGGCAGAGAAGAACCTTCCAGAACAGCAGTTTGCATGTGGCACCATCATGAGTATGGTTAGAATAAAGCCCCTGTAGGCTCGCCCTCTGTTCCCGACTCTTCCTTCTTAGGGGAGCGTGCTGGAATGCAGAATGAGGAGCTTGTTATGTAAGATGTGTTCTGAGTATTTTCCAAAGAGATGTTATAAAATTTGTTCTTAGTAATAAATTAACAATAATATGCTTTTAAAACTATTTAGTCTTCAAAACTGACAGAAGTAATAAAAAGATTTTTGCTATGTAGAATGAGCAACTATCCCATAATATTTGGAAGTAGATACAGAAAACAAATACATTAAAGAATTAGTCTCCTGTTAGGTGGCTTTTCTAACTGAGAAACCATGATCACTTTCGATTTTAATCTTATAACTAACTGTGCTAACATTCTGGGCTGGAAATAAGGGTGCATGAGGGTGTTTTCTCATGCTGTTCTCCATGTCTTGCTGTTAATAACATGCATGTCCAACCCACATTTTGATCTGCAAATTTGTCTTCTCTGAATTACTCTCGAATAATAAAATGCCCTTAGGTTTGATGTCAATCAAAATGTTCTGGCCCTTTGCAGATTGGATTTCCAGAGCTATATATGGCTCTGCTAGCAGTTTTTAGTAGGGAAAAAATATTCTTTTTTCTCATCAATAAAAGTACAACACAGGAGCAAACTCCATATATGGTTAGACTAAGATGATTAGAACATGTTTTGTGTCTCCTAATTTTAGTGATAATGATAAACAAGCCCCACTTTATAAGGAAACATTGTTGAAAGCAGAAATTCCAAGTGAAGTTTTTTATAACTTTTTCACTGCGGTATTTATGATTTTTTTTTTTGATAAAAGACTGTACACTAGAAGTTGGAAATAACAGATTAACCCCTTTTTCCATCTATATAAGGCAAGTAATTATTAGGACAGAAAAAACATTGTTCATGCCTGTGGTGCAAAGTTACTCTTAGAATGTTCATAATATCTGAAAAGACCACAGGAAGCATTTAAAAACAATTTTAATATAAAATTTTTGGTTTCTTTTTCTTAAGGATGTTGGTAATGCACTGCACCACCATGCCTGCAGTCATTGGGGGGGGGGGGGGACGAATATTGACAATAGAACATTTTTTCTTAAGTGTACATTCTTACACACACCCTTTCCAAAGACTAAGGTATACTTAATTTTCATTTAGTTGTCCTTCAAATGAGGTTTTGATTTTTGATGATAGTCCTTAATATAAAAAAGTTCTTACTCTTGATATATTTGCTATAGAAAAGAACTAGAGCATTTTACTTCATCCTTTTTTGGGTCACAAGCCCAACCTGGGATTCTAATGAAGACCTAAGGATTTCTAATGAAAGCTGAGGATTCTTCCTCAGAAAGTATATGCATATAAATATCTGTAAAATTTTGCATGCTGTAAAGGAACACTTTTGGAGCCCACATGTCAACTCAGGCTTTTAAGGAACCAGAGTTTGCTTTTTGCCTTTTGAAATATAGAGGCATGTGTTACCTCTTACAAGACATAGCATAAGGTCACTAAGGGTATTGTTTCTGTCCTGGGATTTATGCTGACTTGTGGCATTATATTTATGTGTGTCATCAGAATACAGTTCCATTAGCATCATAACTTTACACAGGCTTTTAAAGATCAGAATTTAGAGCTTCATGACTAAAGTAAGATGTACCCACTTACAGTACTTTAAAAACTTCTGACAATCTGGAAAGCCAGTGAGATATAAATGGCTTTTATATTTTTAAAAGATTGTAAAAAATTTTTTTAGAAAGGTATAGACAGACTATATACAGTCCACAAAATCAAAAGTCTCTTCTCAGAAAGAATTTGCCAAACTCTAGATTAAGCCATTTGGAATATTTCTGTTGGAATAAATAGCCAACTTCATTAAGAAAAACCCATCTTGAACAGTCACATGCCTTTTTTCTTTTTAATCTAAGAAACCCTACTCTTTAGATTGTTGGCCATAGTTTAAAATTTTGTTTGGAGGGGTTCTGATACTTCGACTTTTTTCATAACACTGGCACTACTGGTAGTCAATGCAGTGTGGACACAAACTAAATCGCCATTATAAACAATCCAGAACTTTTTAATACTGGTATAATTTAGACTGGTGATTTTGCTAAAACTATACAGTAATAAAATTGCAGAGATTTTCCTATGTCCATGTAGTAGATGGATGGTATTAAGGGGATGACTTCTTATTGCTTTACCTTTTCTATTATCATTTTAGAGTAAAAGCTACAAAGTTACACGTTCTCTGTTAAATATTAAAAGTACCAGATAATTAAGTTTATGTCACATCACTATCAAAACGAATCTGTTTTATAGTGACACTAGTCCTCTGATTCTAATTACTTTCCAGTGTATTTAGCAAATGAATGTAGACTAGAAGACATTTGTTACCAAGTGGCAGCCTTTTGCAATCCAGCAAACAACAGAGCATAGGATAGGAGTATGCCAAGATTTCGATTTCGTTGGAAGGTTTGAGTTAAAGTTCCTATTTCGAACAGGGCTGCTTACTTAACTTTGTGTAAGTTGTCTTAGCTTCCGTAAATAGGTGATTGCATCTTTAAACAGGAGTTTTCATATACGTGTAGCTTGAAATTGAGATGACAATCTAGAAGAAAGAGCTCGTAAAGGGCAAAGTGTATCAGTTCTTGAACTTTGTAGTTTTGCTTTATCATCTGCAATCTAACCCTCTCAGCTAATTAACATTGTCATAGATACATATTCTTACTGCATCTTTCCTCATTGTTCTCTATTTTTGTGGTTATATGTAAAAAATCCAGTTCATCCTAGTGTATAATAAGCTGCAAGTTGTATAAGAGTAAACTGCTGCTTCTTTGTGTGCCTGGTTTTTTCTTCTTTTTTTTTTTTTCAAATAATCTTGCTTTACATATGAATTATCCATGAACTATTTTAGAGACCTGTATTTTTTTATAGTTTATTTTAACATCATTTTGTGCATTTTTCCATCTCAGAGATACCTGTATTTTTAACAGGCATGTTGTCAGTTCTTAAAAGCTGATGAATTTTTTTTTAATCTGGTTTAAATTTTTGGGAAAAAAGCATATTAGTAGTTCTTTTTACCAAGAAATTTAAAGTCTCCCAAAAACAGCCAGAGAGTAGAGAACCCAGATATGAACTGATTCTCACTCCAGAATGCTGACCATAGCCTAAATCCTACTTCCAAAAGGATAGGCCAGGTTTGTGTCTGGATTCAAAGCACCAACCATGGACCGTACTTAACCTAATCCAGATGACTCATTACAGACGACCAGTAATGGCCACAAAGAGAAAAATTTCAGTTGCCTGTCTGGAATTTTTGTATCAGAGACAACTACTTTTTTATTCCATTGCTTTCGCCCCCTGGGCAACACCTATGGTCACAGCACACACCTGGCTAAGTCCAGAGCCCTGTGTCCTTTTAACCTCTTGCTGGATTTCTCTGCATTTTCTACAGAAAGATTGTAAGTAAAATAGATGGCGACAAGGACGGGTTTGTCACTGTGGATGAGCTCAAAGACTGGATTAAATTTGCACAAAAGCGCTGGATTTACGAGGATGTAGAACGACAGTGGAAGGGGCATGACCTCAATGAGGACGGCCTCGTTTCCTGGGAGGAATATAAAAATGCCACCTACGGCTACGTTTTAGGTAGGTCCCTACTATCTGGGGGAAAAAGCCTTGTGGAGCCGGCACCTTGAAACGTAACTGTTTTGTCTTGTAGAATGATTATAGATAAAATAGACGCGGATAAAGATGGGTTTGTGACCGAGGGGGAGCTGAAATCCTGGATTAAGCAAGCCCAGAAGAAATACATATATGACAATGTTGCAAACCAATGGCAGGAGTTTGATATGAATCAAGACGGCTTAATCTCCTGGGATGAGTACAGAAACGTGACTTATGGCACTTACCTGGGTAAGGGGCAAGATGTCAGCCCAGCAGAGACCGTAGTCTTGAGTCAAAGAAACAAATGGTCACGCAGTAAAGGAAAGGAAGAGATTGTGTTTATCTTAAATGGTTCTATGCTGAACTGATTTTCCTTTATTTTAATTTTAAATTTGCATAATGTATTTTTAAGATTTGTTAAGTTGTAGTATTGTGAATTCGGGCAACTTCTACATTCTTTAGCATTCCAGATTATTTTGCCATTTTTACTTTCTGACATCTTTCATAGAGACCATTTTGGAGTAGCTCCTGTTTTCAAAAGCTGCATTGTTCCAACAATGCCAAGCAAGAGGCTTTGAGGGGTCTCATTGAGGTGGTCTCATTAATTTATTGGACCTGAAACTCATACTGAATTAGATTCCTTTATAACTGGTAAAATAGATGGGAAATTTCAAAATTAATGGTCAAGCATAATAGCTTTTCTGGATAAAATTTAACTATTTCAGTATGTCTGCTTTCAGTTTAGAAATGAAAAATTTCCTTTTTTCCTCAGGATGAGTATATCATTCTGCTTTGCAAATGCCTCCATGCAAATAAATGTGACTTTGATTGCTTTTTGTTAATTTAGTAGTTTGTGTGCTCGGGCCACCTGTTAGTAATTTTCTTTTACTTATTACACTTGCCTGCTGCTGATGCTAGATGGTGATCTTACTGAGTTGATGACTTGGTGTTTTGTTAGTGAGATTCCTTTATTATGCATGGTTACAATTTGAGATGAGAAAGTATAAAATGTTACTTTTTGTATTTTTATCCTGGAACTGAGGGTCACAGCAAGCACTCACCACAACTAACCGGCTATGAGTGTACAATGGTCTGTTTTCCTCACTGGATAGCCAGCTGTCCATGTTAATTACAGGACTTAGTGCATTTCTGGTGAAGAGATTTATTTCTGTGTCCTGCTGGTTCTCATTCTTAAGACTAAAGTAGCATTCTCTCACCATGCTTGGCACTTAGCCAAAAGAGCCAAACATACCCTTCACACAATTAAGAACATGTGTATTACAAAGTCATTGCAGATGGATAAGCATCCTTGCTGCTTGCGCTCTCGACACCCTCATGATTTATTTGGAATTAATTATAAAGCAAATAGTATAAGCTATTGGTGATCTAAAATGAATGGCGTGTTAATAAGTCTCAGCTCAAACCTAGGCATCCACTTGCTGCCCAGTCATATACAGAATCTTAAACTCTGTGTATGATTATGTGCATAAAAATCTGTTGAGAACATTGTTGCCTCTTGTGGCATATGATTCAATGTAATGGGTATTTCTACTGCCTGAAACTTCATAAACTGAAGCACAGGCTGGAGAAGCAATGCCTTTATAAGGCATCTTTCCCTGTTGACCTGTGGGTGGACACAGTTTAGGAGGTAGTGAGTTGCCTTATGTATAAGTGCTGAGGAGCTTTTGTGCACGTGTATTCTTAATTCAGTTTGAGTTCAGGTATAAGTCTCTTTAGATTTTAATTAAAATATGTCATAATGAACCTGCTTTCCACCAAACCTAACACTGTCTCTGCCACAAGTGAAATATAAAATAAAATTTGCCTTACCTAAACTACCAGAACTAGATCAAGTGCCTGCCCCACTGTGTGAAGGCTGACTGGCACAGTAAGTGGTGGTTAGGATAGACAGGGTACTCTGAGCAGTGACAGTGGGCACATAAGCTTAGTCATTTAAAATATAGTTTTGTATCTTCCTTTTTCATTCTTCCATATGGGTGTGTTGTTACCAGACTGCTTGATACCAGTCACTATGATTTACCCTAAGGTAGAAGGGAAGGTACATATGATTTACCCTAAGGTAGAAGGTGACCACATGACAAGGCAGACTTCTCCTGACCTGCCCACTGCTCCCCTCAGCAGTGTACTTCGTGGATCAGCCTGTTCTGCTTCCCACTCTGTCTCTGGTGCATCCTCTCACTGCCCTGCACCTCTGGCCTATATCCCAGTTCTGTATGCATAAATAAATAAATCTTTTGGGGGCCTCCCTGGTAGTACAAGGGGTTAAGTCACAGCACTGTGAAACTATGCACAGCTATGCAGCATGATTTCAATCCCCGGCCAGGGAGCTGACCCACATGGCCCAGCAGACCTCTCCTGTCTCACGCTGCTCCCCTCAGTGGGTGTATTTCAGTCAAGCTGCCTGTTCTGCTCCCCACTCTGTCTCTGGTGAATTCTCTCACCCACCCACATCTCTGGCCTGTATCCCAGTTCTTGTATGCATAAATAAATAAATTTTTAAAATAAATAGAAGAAAAAGAGGGCCCTCCCTGGTGGTGCAGAGGGTTAAAGCACAGCACTAAGAAGCTAAAGCCACTTCCGCCTGAGGTCAATCCCCTCCTGCCCCAGAGGTGACCACATGGCAAGGCAGACTTCTCCTGACCTGCCCACTGCTCCCCTCAGCAGTGTACTTCGTGGATCAGTCTGTTCTGCTTCCCACTCTGTCTCTGGTGCATCCTCTCACTGCCCCTGCACCTCTGGCCTATATCCCAGTTCTGTATGTATAAATAAATCTTTAAAAAAAGAAAAAGAATCTAGTTAATTTAGTTAATAAGTTCTGTTATTTTTCTAGTTTGTGTTACACAGTTGTTACATATGTAGTTGATAGTGAAACTGTTTACAAGAGATGTAAGTGAAAAAAGTGATATTTTCCTTAAATTCTCCATTTCTGATTTATTTTGGCTTTGAGTATACACTTTCACGGTTCCTCAAAACCTCATGATTCAATAAGCTGTCTTACTGAAAAGTGAATCTTCAAGCTGCTCAACACTGAAAGTAAACCATTACTTTGTTTTCCTGTACTTCGAGTATGGAAGGATTGACATACCACGTAAAAAGTACTGTCATTGTGATTCTTTCTGTAAGACTAGTGCCCAGTCTTTGACCACTGTATTGCAGGAACATTCATTTTTTTGTTAATAGGTGTTTTTTACTTTACAAAATAATGAGTTGTCCGACAAAAGTCATGATGCATCTTTTCTGTTTTCAGAGAAAATGTCATCTTTTCCAACAACCCACATCGTGTCACAACTTAAGTGCTCCATACATTGAAAGGATTTTTTTTCCCGTTTATCTGCAGCTAACTCCATGTCATTTTTTCAGCTTAAAGAACCTAAATTTCATTTAGACTTTAGAGACCATGATGGCTATGGGTTTAGTCTCAGCACTCTCACCACTATGGCCTGCGTTCAATCCCTGGCCAGGGATATGGCACACATATGGCACAGCAGATCTCTCCTGTTATGCTCACTGCTCTCCTTAGCAGTGTATTTCAGTGAACCTTTCTGTTCTGCTGCCCACTCTGTCTCTGGTGAAAAGAGTATAGAGACCAAATAACTGCTGAATGTGCAGTTCAACATTCGAATGGATGGATAGGTCCAAATTCAATATAGTTGTAATCTGATAATTTTTAGAACAACTTTACTGTATTGGCATAAAGTATACTGCATATATTTAAAATGTACATTTGGTGAATTTTGACATATATGTATATCAGTGACTCCATCTATACAACTAAGGTGAATGAACATCATTCTCACCACCTCCCATTACTAGGTAGCCACTGTAATCTGGAACTCTAAATTAGTTTTCATTTTCTTGAATTTCATACTAGTGGGGAGGCAAACAGTTCTAGTAACTTAGGGTAGTTGAGTTTGCTAAAAAAAAAAAAAAAAAACTAAAATACAGCTTTTCAAAGTGGTGATTTTTTGTTACTGTAAACTGGCCTATATAGGATAGACAGTCTTTGATATCTAGCTTCTTAATGTCTAAAGCCTAATGATTAATAAAAAGCAATAGCTAATCAAAGCTAACTGTATGCTGGACATTAAGATTTATTTGTTTGCTTAAGCCAAATAATTCTCTGAAACAGAAGCTATTGGTGTCCCGTTTTACAGATGAGTGATTTGAAGCACATTTACTTGCTGAAGGTCACACAACAAGGGAGTGGGAGAGTTAGGATTCAAACCTAGACAGTGTGACTTCAGAGCTGTCGCTGTCCCTCAGCTACTGTTGAACCCTTGAGTAGTGTGAGTACCTCAAACAGTGAGGTATTACATTACACACTGGGCTCCATAGAACAGGAGGCAGGGTCCAAGTTGAATGGCAAACATTTTCTTTCAATTTGAAACTTGGTTCGTTAATCACCAGAACTTTATCCAAAACAGGATGTCTTTATACTGCCGCAATTTTACTTGTGCAATCGGTTGATTTATTTCTTCATTGCTTGGTTTATCTCTCTTAGAAATTGATAATCTAGTCCACACATTTTCATGTTTTCAGAAGGATTTAACAAGTTTTTGTTTTCTAGATGATCCAGACCCTGATGATGGATTTAACTATAAACAAATGATGGTTAGAGATGAGCGGAGGTTTAAAATGGCAGACAAGGATGGAGATCTTATTGCCACAAAGGAGGAGTTTACAGCCTTCCTGCACCCTGAGGAGTATGACTACATGAAAGATATAGTAGTCCAGGTAGGTGAGTGCAAGGTTGCTCAGTGGAGATTAGTTTCTGTTACTGTGTGTGCTGTCTTTCCTCTTTAGTCTTCCTCTGTATTTAGAAGAATGCAGGTGCTGGCCAGATGCAGAATCTTAGCTCTCACTTTTTTCTGTGACCCTGATCAAGTCATTTAACTTAGATGCCTTAGACTTTTTATTGAGTATGACAATACTTGTAAGATAATGTATTTTACCATTTTGCTGGTAGCTTCACATTGTAAGTATGAAGGAAAATCTTTTTTGAATGCGAACACCAGTGACCAGATACTAGTAATAACAGCAGTATTGAAGAATTTTCATGGAAGACAATTTCCTGTGAGCATAGCCCCTAACTATAGACATACTGGTTCATTATTAAGCAGTGTCAATATCCTTCAAAGATGACCATTGTTATTTTAGGTCAAAGTATTAAAAAATTGATAGTACTTTACCATTTTTAGCTAGAAAAACAGCATTTCCCTACACTTTAACCATACATACACATGCAAGCTTATATGTGTGTTTAATGAATGACAAGTAATCACCTAAACCATATTATTCAGACCAAAAATAGTCTTTGCTTATTTTCTGTCTAGGAAACAATGGAAGATATAGATAAGAACGCTGATGGCTTCATTGATCTAGAAGAGTACATAGGTAAGTCTCTAGTGCTTTCTTTGGAAGCAGCCAATAAATGGGAATGCTTGAGATTATTTTCTATTTTGTTTGTTTGAAAGCTTTCATAATAAAACAAAAGTAATAGATAAGTAGAGTGCTTTATATGATGTTTAGAATATAGTAAGAATTCAGTAAATGTTAGCTGCATTTAATAGTTAAAAATAAAGTGGTTCTTTGGCACTATATATTTTTTCCAAATAAAATATTTTTATTTTTTTGATCACAATATTTTGATTTTTTTTTTTAAGATTTTTTTTTTATTTATTATTTGTGCATACAGAACTGGGGTACAAGCTAGAGGCTCAGGGGCGGTAAGAGGCTTTACCAGAGACAGAGCGGGGAACAGAACAGGCTGATCGACGAAATACACTGCTGAGGGGAGCAGCGGGTGGGTCAGGAGAGGTCTGCCGTGCCATGTGGTCACCTCTGGGGCAGGCGGGAATCGAACTCATGCGGAAGCGGCTTTAGATTCTCAGTGCTGTGCTTTAACCCGCTGCGCCACCAAGGAGGGCCACAATATTTTGATTTTTAACATGACCATTGCTTGCATTTGATTTCTGTTTACTATGATCAAGATGTACAATAAAAAGTTGTTTTGAAATAGTTCTCTAACTGGGAAATTTTACAATATTCTTGTTTCTTCTTAAATTTATTTTTCAATCTACTTCCCCCACAGAATATACCCTATTCTATCTTGAAAGAATTAAATCACCCCAACACTATACATACAAATTTAAATTTGAGAGTAATTTTTATTTGTGTATTAATACACAACTGAACAAAATAACATACATGTTGTTTGTACTATTACAAAAATGTATCTTATTTAATACGTTCTTTCCTCAAGTAGTTCTAATATCCATAGATGGCAAATACTACCTCAGAGAAGCAGGTTTCAGTTCCAATTCCTAATTTTCTTTTTCTTAGAGGAATGTTAAGAGGCCTTGTTTACATATATAAAAGAACCCATGATAGACTGGAAGGTTTGTATTAACAATGCCACTCATTCTTGGCATTCCTTTTAAATAATTTACCAAAAGTCATGTATCTATCTCAAAAATTATTTTTAATGACCTTAGATGAAATTGCTTCAGTTTTTCACTAAGCAAGAATTGGAACCCTCTTCACATGCAAAAGAACCTGTTACCCGTGTTCATGTTTTCAGATCCTACTTTCTTACAACTGAGACTGATAATTTGATAATTGTTCCTTTTTTTTTTACATCTTGGACCTTTTTACACCTTAGTAGGCTGAAAATATGACATTTTACAAAGTGGAAGAAAAGGTGACTCAATTATGAAAGGGGAGACAGAAGGCACATTCTTATGCAGATCAGTTATTAAGGAGAATTGTGTAGGAAGTCAAGTGTCTAGAATTTGATTCTTGTAACTGTCCTTTCCCTGTGCACTCTTGACAGTGTTCTGTCTCCCAGTGTGCCCCAATTGAAGGTCACTGGCATAATGCACTTCCCATAGTAATTAAGTGGTAGACAGCTTTGGCTCATAACATAACACTTCACACATTTCCTTGAGAATTTAAAATAGCACCTTTCTAAAACCAGTGGACGGGTTTAATTAGCTAGTTAAATGGAATGCAGGAAACAGTGCCTGTGAAAGTTAGTCTTTACCTTGCTTGATGTTAGTCATCTCCCTTTATTTCTGCATAGTTTCTAATGGATAAGGACCCTCTTTGCTCTCATCTCACTCACAAGTCAACATCTGGAAATTGTCTTGCTGCGCGGTCAATCATAAAACCTAGGAAAATTCCTTGTCTCCACAGGCTCTAGCCTTCGAACCTGTAGTCACTGTGGGCTCCACACATGAGTGGGGAAGGTGGGTACAGCCAGATTCACCTTAGTCTTTGGGAAAAGACAAGCCTGTCTTTTGTATCCTTGTCTGTGCATACAGGTGACATGTATAGCCATGATGGAAATGCTGATGAGCCAGAATGGGTCAAAACAGAACGAGAACAATTTGTTGAATTTCGAGATAAGAACCGTGATGGAAAGATGGACAAGGAAGAAACTAAAGACTGGATTCTCCCCTCAGACTATGATCATGCAGAAGCAGAAGCCCGCCACCTAGTCTATGAATCAGACCAAAACAAGGTAAGTTAGGCCCAAACAGTATTACAAGGGTCATTGTGTACTTTTAATTCCTATCCAAGAGCATTTAAGGTTGTTGTTATAACGAGTCTGCGATGGTTCTAAAGTTGGCTACTGAAAACTGACAGAGCAGTGCTGCCCCTCTCATCTCATTTTAGAAATCCCTTAGCTGAGTGTTTACAGTGACAGAGAATTTAGGCTTCAGAAAAGATCCTCTGTGAGCAGCTTGTGCCCAGCCTGCCTCATTTGTTAACTTTGGATCACCTGGAAATTTTCTTTGCTTTTTTTTCTTTTGTTATTTCCTTTGTACTTTTATCGATTGCAGACTTATTTTTTGCCTAACAGCTGGTCCTTTGCTTCTTAAATCAATTATGCTTTCTAAAATTAAGTCCTTTGTAGTAGATAATAAATCAGTGTTTCTCTGGATCCTGTTAATATTGAACGATTATCTGCGGTATTCTGTTCACTAAAATAATGGTACTGTCACTAAGCCCTGACACCTTTTTCAGTGATTTGAATCCTTTGCTTAAGACTAAGCTGAAAATAGATCTAGAAGGTGGATTTTTTTTTTTTTTTTTTTTTTTTTTTTTTGTCATGTAGCCTTTTTAGGGCTCAGTCTGAGTTCTTAAGTCACTTCAGTGGCCAGGTGCTGTGTCCTGATAGTGTGAGAAAAAGAAACTCAAGTAGTCATCCCTTTGGAATCTGACCTGATTAATTCGGGGGTTGTGTCAGGTATCTGAGTGGTGGCTAGGACACAGCGGAGGCGTGGGCTCTGCTTCTTACTAGCAGGTACTGCTTTTCCTGTTAAGAAGTGACTTAATTCACTTAAAGTGTTTGCTCAATTATTGACTGTATCTTAACCAAATCTTGCAGGTGTCCGATGTTTCACTTGAAAAGGGGGCATTTTTTTCTCCAAAAACAAACCCATATTTTTCATATCGAGCTATACAATTTCTGTCTTCCTTCTACTTATAACTTGCTTGATAAGGAAAATGTATTAATTGCTATTTTCTTCCCTCGGTGTATGAGTAAATTGGGGGCTAAAAGTAGAGTTCAGATTTAATTTAGTGGGGGTTAAATCGAGATTTTTATAATCCCTATTGTTCTATAGCAGTATTTATGAACTTGGAATTGGAAATACATGCTGCATCAGTTCACTCTTTTTTCTAATTTCAGGATGGCAAGCTTACCAAGGAGGAGATTGTTGACAAGTATGATTTATTTGTGGGCAGTCAGGCCACAGATTTTGGTGAAGCCTTAGTACGACACGATGAATTTTGAGCTGTAGGCAGAAGAAAGCGACATTTCTTCAAAAGTAATTTATTTTTACAGCTTCTGGTTTCACATGAAATTTGTTTGCGCTACTGAGACTTCTTACAAACTTTTTAAGACATGAAAAGGCGTAACGAAACCATCCGTCCTGCTACTCCTCCTCTCTTGAGGGGCTGGAGGGAAATCGAGCTTCTGAGGAACAACTCTCATTAGTACACTTGTGTTTGTAGATTTACATTTCGTATTATGTATAACATGGTGTGTTTATTTTTGTATTTTTTCTCTGGTTGGAAGTATGATATGAGGATCAAGATCCTCAATTCACACTTGTAGGCAAACATTAGCCCTTCACTCTTTCTCATTCAACCTTTACCATGTAATTTTTATAATTCTGACTAACTTTTTAAACCTGAGCTCAACAAGTAATGCTCAGGAAAGAGAAATAGGAAGAATATACCCCACCATTTATATTTAGAGAGAGAACAATTAGTCTTGTCTCTTGAAAGTTATTTTCCACAAGTAGTAGAGGCCACATATTCCAACATATTCAATTCATTTGCTATGGGTTCAGCAACTGATCCTGGCATTATCTGGGCAATGACAGATTCCTGTGCTGTAAGAAAGTTTGGCTCAACCATTTCATTCATCTTCCTCCCCCCAACCCCCTACACATGCACACCCCAACCCCCCATCCTGTAGGACTAGCTGTTTGCTAATTTTGTCAGGCACAGCTGTGTTGGGAAGAGTGAGGGCCAGTGTCTTGAAAATCAATCACGAAGTGAGTGTGATCTCTTTACTGAGCTATACATAGAAACAGCTGGAAAACTAAAGGAAAAATAGAAGTGTTTTCAGGACACACACTTTTTTCTGGGTGTGCATCTGTTGAAGTGCTCAAGACTGTCTTGCTTGTTGAGTCACTGGAAGTGCCCCATCCAGCTCCTGTTTCCCCCGCCCAGAAGCTCCGGGGAATTATTTTTGCTTTCACTGCAGCTAAAATGTATCATTTCTAGTCATGTCATTGGAAGTGCCTTTAGCAAGAGAGATGATCAGTGAATGAGATTCTCCTGAGAAACCTTATGAGAAACCTTTGGATCATCTTGTATCAGAACTTAGACCTTCCCAATGTGGTGGGGCTTGTTCCTTCCCTTTCTCTTTCAGACAGTGGTTAAATAGCAGTATTAGTTAGGAGCTTGGTTGCAGTGTTCTTATCTTGTGGGCTGGTTTCCAAAAACCACATGCTGCTGAATTTACCAGGAATCCTCATACCTCAGAATGCTAACCACTTACTGTCAGGCCTGTTTCTGTCAGCTGAAGAGCTTGAGCTCAGGCTCAAAGACAGCTGGGCCTGCGGGAGGGCTCTTTGGTTTGAGGACCTTTGCTCACCGTTCCTGCTTTTGACCCATCACTCCCTATTTCCCCATCTCCCCCCCCCCACCTTCACCCTTCTTCACTGTCTCCCCTCCCCCCAAAAAAAGTTTTATCATGGATGAATAAATTGTCAATTCTTAACAAAGAGAAGGAAGGATATTGTAGAAAGAACTGAAGTAACCTCCCCTGTTCCCAACTCTACCCATATTTTGAGTAACACACACTGTCTGTCTGGCTCCTTTCTTACAGATTGCCCTCTTCTGACATGAATTATTGTATTCCAAGTTTTTAGCCCTCAGGTTATTAAGATAAATATATGTATATCTAATCTAATCTTTATTATTTCATATATCTTTCTGAATAATACATTCAGGTGGTGCTGGGTGATTATTATAATCTGAACCTAGGTATACCCTTTGGTCTTCCATAGTCATGTTGAGGTGGGCTACTCAGCCTGATAAAAAGCCAGATATCATGAACCTACACCCCAGCCTTGCATTGAGCTCTTGAGAATGGAGACACTTTTTTTTAAATAAGTTTAACCACAGTATAAGGTAATGGAACTTCTCTGACCTCCAGATTATTGTTAAGAGCAGAGATGATTAACTTGGCACCAACCTTGACTTAGAAGGGTAGATCATGACTGTGATAAGAGCCTCACAGCTCACTAAGTGCAGAGAAACCAGGCCTTATGTTAAACTCACACTGTTAGAGAGCAAAACTTCACCTGTTAAGACAGCAGTCACTGCATGCTGGTTGCTCAGTCAGTGTTGTGCTCTAATCTCTAATGGTCCCCCTGGATGGGTTGGTTGGGTTTTTTTTGGTTAAAATCAAGCTTGAGGCTGATGAACAGTAGAGGTACAGCCCCCAGTGTGTTCTGTAATTACGAGCTCTCTCGAATTTGGATATTGGTTATTTTTTATAGAGTGTAAACCAAGTTTTATATTCTACAATGCAAACAGGTACCTATCTGTTTCTAAATAAAACTGTTTACATTCGTTGTAGAGTATGTATGTCATTTATTCTCAAATGGATTCTTCATTAGTTTTAGTTGCTACAAAATGCCACAGGAAAGGAACTCTAGAAGATTTACCATCCCCTCGCTCCAACCCTGAGAACTCTCTGCGTTCTTCCAAATTGGCCACACCTGTGTCTGAAGTCCCGCACCCTTGTCACTGTAACCCTTCTCTGCTGCTCATGCACCTGCAACTGAAGTGAAGCCTGGTGCTTGTTTCATAATTACCTGGTAGCAAATGGGCCATTCCTGAAAGCGCACACCATTTCAAAACATTTCTTTTTCAGGTGGTGGTGATGGGGGGAATAAAGTATGATTTTTTTTTAACATTTTGGCCTACTGTATAAATGATACTAAGATGTACAAATACATCTTGAACATATGAAAAGAATTTTCAGTAAGTACAATGTGTAAGACAGGTAAATAGCTGTAGTCAAATAGAAGGGACTTAGAGGTGGAAACACCTGGGACAGCTCATCTGTGTCAGGGCAGAGACTGGCTGTCCTTGCTGAGGCGTAATGACTATTGGCAGAGAGCACAAAGGTCTTTCAAGTTCATGTATGGGTCCTACTAACAGTTTTTGATCTTTCTTTAGATCTCTTCAGTTTTAAATTGTTTTCTTGTGTTTGTTCTAGTGTAGAATGTGTCAGAACAGATTCCCAGTAGGAAAAAATACACTAAAAAGGAAAATTAACCATATAAATATCACCATACTCCTTTACAGTTGCCTTCATGCAGGAATCCTATCATACTAAGTGCCACTGGGACTGGAAATGGCCGGTGGTTGAAGGGCCTTTCGAATGGTCTGAAGACACAGCCGCAACAGCTTTATAGATAGGAAGGCAACAGCGAGGAAATTGGCTCCCAGTCATCGTCATTCCTTTCCGATCTTTTCTCCGTTGTTAGTTTAGTTTTTGACAGAAAGTAGAAATAACCTTAAACATAAAATCCAAGTTGCTATAAATAGGCTTTTTAGTTGGGACCAACTTGGCTAGAAGAGAGAGTAGACACTTCCGTTTTCTGGGAGCTGGACATGTCAGACTCGTCTGTCATGGCCTTTCCACACACCATCTCCATGATGCAAGCTCGGAACTGGAGAGGAAAGGCAGGATTGAAGAGTGCCCCGTTGGCAGACGGGCACAGGAGGTTAAGATCTGGGAGCATGGGAAGGAAGAGCTCATTTCTTCATCCCCAAAGCCTTGCACAATGCTGAGCACCCGGTGTCTCAGGTGAGGTTCAGTACAAAGCCCCAGTCCTGAGCGTTAACTGGGCCTGTGACTACTTGCTGCTCCTGCAGGAATTCTGGCTGATTGAGACCTTGCCACTGGGACCCTCCACAACCAGCCTGCCTCACACGCTCACTGTCAAGCAGCCCCAGAGCCCGCCCGCCCAAGCATGTGCCCCAAGAATGCTCCCATGGGAAAGGACTTCTCATTCTGTTTCCATGCTGGTTTCTCATTAATTTTGAGTATTGTCATGAAAATATCTCTGGACTTGGAAGAAATAGTATTTTTACAGTAGGGATCTTGCCCTACAGGACATAAACTCTGCTAGGTTTCATCTTGAGTTTGGGCATTGCTTTAGCTTAGATTCAGGAATTGGGATGAGGTCACCTGATACCTTCAGCTGACGAGCGGTTTTAGAGACTTATGTATGTGTTCTGAATTCTGTGCTTCCCATACACTCCTGCAGACTACAAGTTGGAGGAGGAAGGATTAATTCATGAATTGGAAGGATGAAAAATTTAATAGAGAACTCTTCACCTCTCATTTTTCCTGTACACTTCTCATCCTGACCTTAGCAAATCAGTTTTTAAGTCTAAGTTTTGTCTTCTCTGGGTTCGCTTGCCTTGATGAGCACACCTTCCTCCCTGTGTTAACCAACTCCCTATTATCTCTAAAATCCCTCAGAGTTGTCCAAGATGCTCTAGATTAAGTCACTGGTGAAGCAGGAACCAGGTCTTAAGGACTAGGGTCTCAAGTCTGTAAGTGGAGAGCTTTCTTTACCTGCTTGTTCATGAAGCAGTAGATGATGGGATTGTAGACACAAGCACTCTTGGAGAAGAAGGCAGGGATGGTGACGAGCCGTAAGTCCAGCCCGTGGTTACGGTTGTTGACCATGTACATGGCCAGGGCAGCATAGGGCACATAACAGAGACAAAAGGATCCCACCATCACCACCACCATGCGGCTCACCTCCCGCTCAGCCTTCTGGGTCGAAGCTGACTCTTGCTGCTGAGCTGCAACCTGAGCAGGAGACAGGGAAAATTACTTCTCCTCCCTGGCTCTTAACTCTCAGATCTCTTCCCCCGCTTCTATCTAAGGAGCACTGCTTCAGTGGTCTCTACTGTTCCACTGTCTAGCCTGGTCCCTCTGGCTCTCCCTCTTTGAAAGTCATTCTGGTCAGTGATTTTGGTCATGTCCTGCCCTTAACAACTATACTTGATCAACAGTGATGCCACATTTGTCACGATCCATTTCATTCTTCTTGCTCCAGCTTCACTGCACTTAGATAACCCCTCTCACCTGGCCAGATGTACTCTAGAGCACTCTTTCCTCCTGGGAGCCCCCAGGCCCATCTTCCCTCACCCTTGCAAAAGCCACTCACAGCTCTGAGAGCCCCCAACAACTGAGAGTAGGAGAAGCAGATGAGGGAGAGAGGCACAATGAAGCAGAAGATGAAGAGGAACCAGGTGTAGTACTCGCTGCAGTATTTGGTGCCCACGGTGTACCAGTCGGGACCACACGAACACTGCAGGCCCTCGGGGATGAACCTGGAAGAGACCAAGCTTGCAGCCACAGGCAGGCATGTTCACTCCAGCTTCTCTGCAAAACTGGAGTGGAACTGAGATGCCTGGTTTCTCCACTTGTACCAAGAATGCCCAAAGACTGCAGGCCAGAGGGTGAGGATGTCCTACCCTTGCTAGTTGAGGTTCTTGCAGTTGCAACTGCAAAATAAACTTTAAGCATGCTTAATAGGCTGCACCAGCTTATTCAAAAGTAGCAGTCAAAGAGGGCAATCCTGTACCCAACACCCGCTCCCCGCCCCGTGACTCCCATCTGGGCTCCTAGCTCGGTCACACGCTGCCCTATATTCTCACCGGCTCCAGCCAAAGAAGGGTGGGATGGAGACGCCAACACCGATGACCCAGGTAGCCAGGACCACCATCAGTGCGTGCTTGGAGCTGAAGCGGAAGTTGCCGAAGGGCTTACAGATGATGATGTAGCGCTCAAAGGCCAGGAAGGCCAGTGACCAGCCTGTCACCAGACCTGTGGAGAAACATGAGGCGCAGGGGGTAGGGGGCCCCCACCAGCCTGTAAGAGGAATGCTGGCCAAGGTGGAGTTGGCACGGGAAATGAAGGGAGTTAGGCCGACGACTAGCATTTGGGACTGGGTCAAACTTTTGTCTGGCTGCTGGCACCCCAGTATTCAAAAGAGCAACTAACCCCCCACATTTCTCTTCAGGAGCCCATTCTAGCCCAACAGCCTGGCCCCTGCTGAGAATCCTGGAGCCGTGTGTGCTGGCCTCCTCCCAGCTCCTTCCCTGTATTACCTGCCGCAGAGCCCAGGAAGGCCTCCAAGGCACAAACATGGCGACCAAAGATGAAATAGCCCTTACAGCTGGCGATGAAGACGGTGAGGACAGAGAAGATGCAGAAGAGGAAACCCCCCAGGGACACGTTGACCAGAATATAGTTGAGTGGCTGCCGCAACTTCCTGTAGCGCAGAGTGGCCACCAGCACAGTGGCATTGAGCGGCGTCCCTGCGAAGAGCACGAAGCCCATGAAGGCTGCCTGGAGGTGGAAGGCCCAGGCGGGCGCAATGTGGTACTGAGGGCCATCCCACGGCCCCACCAACGAGATGTTCTTGAACAGATAAAACTCCTCCTCCCCTGACATCTTGCTCCTGGGTACCCCCCACTCCCCGGATGCCTCTTATAGATTATCCCCTCACCGCCTCTCCTCCCCAACCCTGGGGGAAAAACCCTTCTCCAAAGCCACTTTGGGGCTCCCTGAACAGCGAGGATTTATCCTAAGCCTCCTAAGGGCAAAGTTTGGATTCGAAATCCCCAAGCCCCCACCTCAATCTCTTTTTGCAGCCCAAAGCTGATTGTGTTCTTGAGGATGAAAGATTGGACGCTAAGCAATGAGACATGTAAAGCTGAATGCTGGAATGAGGAGCAGGGGGCCCCGGGCCTGGGATTCACCCTTATCTAATAAAGATGTTTCTGCTACTTTTTCTGTGTTTGTTTGTTTGTTGGTTTGTTTTCATGGAACTGCTGAAAGTATCCCTTTGGCTTTTGGCAATGTATGTTTCTACACCCAATGCAACTTTGTGCAAAGTGTCTTTCAAAGTCTCCCTCTCCATAGATCTTGGGCTCACAGCCAGCCCAGGCTGCAGGAAGGGGCAGGGAATGAGGGTGCCTGAGAGCACCTCAGCAAACTGCCTTCTTGGAAAAGTACAGCTGCCTTTTCTGCAAGAGTACCTTTCCTGCCGGACTCCCCCAGCCAGTGGAGGTTGGTCTGTCTGGGGGCCTCTCTCCACATCCACCCTTCACCCCTGCCCTTAGCTCTCAGGGTCCAAGCTGCCACAGTCCTCCTCCTGCTACTCATCCAAGTCCTGCCCAGCTCTCACTGCCCACCCAGCAAAGATCTCCTCTGTGAACCCACCCAGTGGTGCCCCACGGTGCTTTCTGACACTCAGCGCTGAGCTTAAATGTATCTTCTTCTCCACCTGGATACAGTGTAAGTATATAAAGTAAAAAGTGAATGGGTCAGTAATCACAGAGTAGTTTGTATCAGACAACGTCCCTACTGGTATATCAGAGTTGTTTGTACCAAGTGGGTTTAATGGTAGAAATTAAAAATAATGGACAAAATATTCTTTTTTTTTTAAGGATTTATGCATATAGAACTGGGGTACAGGCCAGAGGTGCAAGGGTGGTGAGCGGATTCACCAGAGTGGGAAGCAAAACAGGCAGATGGTTGAAGTACATTGCTGAGGAGAGCTGTGAGCCGGTCAGGAGAGGTCTGCCACGCCATGTGGGTCAGGTCCTTGGCTGGGGATTGAACTCATGCTGAAGTGGCTTGAGCTTCCCAGTGCTTGCTGTGTTTTCGCCTGCTGTGCCACCAGGCAGGAACTTCTAGACAAAATATTCTTTAAAAAAAGCTATTTGAGGGCCCTCCCTGTTGGCGCAGCGGGTTAAAGCACTGCTCTGAGAAACTAAAGCCACCTACGCATGAGTTCGATTCCCGCCTGCCCCGGAGGCGACCACATGGCGAGGCAGACCTCTCCTGACCCGCCCGCTGCTCCCCTCAGCAGTGTACTT